CAGGAACCTCACTGCTCCATAAAGTATTGCTGTTTAATGTGCAGGTAGTACAATGTAGCGTAACGTATTGGCTGTTATTGTTTGTGTTGAACATTTTATGAGAATGCAACAACAACAACAGAATTACATTTGTATAGCGCCTTTCATGTTGGGGACAGTCAGTGTTTCGGAAAATAGATTAGAGTTATATATGTATCCTCATAGTAAGCCAATCCAAGCTTACCACACAATCCAAAAGGACAGAGTATTGCACTATTACACCCAATTTAGAGCCTTTGTCAGGTAGCACACAAGAATAATACAACTGCGACATTGCCACATAAATTGAATACAATAAATGAGTTGTTTAGAATCATTGTTTGGAAAGATGATCCCGAACATATTCGGGAAAAGTAAATGCCAAACAAAGAAGATAAAAGTGCAACAAGAACAACTAGAATTAATATAGTGCCCTTCACACGGGGTGAAGAGCGCAAAGAGGTAAAGTAAATATAAAATAACACTCACGGGTTGTTTAGACCAGTCAGCCATCAAGTAATTTTTTTTAAATGAAAGTGATTTTTAATTGTACAGTGGTGTACAGCTCCTCTAATTAAATACGAGACTATAAGTGCTGTTTTGGCAGTTGATTTACAATAATCCTTGCATTTTATAAAGTGCCTTTCACACTGGGAGGATGTCTCAAAGGCTCTTCACAGGATTTCCTATAAAGTGTAGTGATTGTGTAGGCGATCAGGGCAGCCCATTTGCACCCTGGGGCCAGGATACTGGGAGAAAATCCCTTCTCTCTTCTATTAGTGCCACTAAACGTCCATCTCAACAGACAGACCGGACTTTGGTTTAATGTTTCAACTGAAAGACAGCACCTCTGACAGCGCACGATATTGAAGTGTCAGACTAGGAGTTCAAAGTTTCGATGTGGGTCTTGAACCCACAAGCTTCTGCCTCTGAGACAAGAGTGCTACCAACTGAACTAGGCTGACACCTAATGCATCAGATATTGAGTAAATATGGCTCTCTTGGATATTGAAACGTGCCATTACAAATTTCACTTAATTTAAATTCCAGACATTGTCCAGAATGCTGTCAAGTGTTGCGAAACAATACTATTGACGATGTACAACGTCCAGACTGATTGAAAAGTCAATTTATCAAATAGAGCATGACATTAAGATGATCACCATTGCCTTATTAATCAGAAGTGTTTGTTTGATAAATGATCCATCTCTGGTGAAGAATAAGGTTTTTTTTTAAAAAGCTGATATTAAATAATCAGGAAATGCATTGGTGCACTCTAAATTGGTGTTTAGGTTCTTTTCGATTCTCATTGTAGAAGTACTGGAAAAACATTAAGATTTAGAGATATTTAAACAACAACAACAACGACAATTTGCATTTATATAGTACCCTTCACTCTGTGTTACCCGGATGTAATGAAATAGAATGCAATGGAGAATTTGAGACAAGGTCAAAGAAGGTTGCATATTGACAGATTTTATTCATATTTTTGGTTCATTCAGATTCCCATGTAATGCATTTAAGGTATGCTATCCATAAGAATTTACACAAAATGTATTAAACCCTCCAACGCTGAAATCCGTAACCATGCTTTCAATCCCTCAAGACTGTTTTTTATTCAGTGGCCTAACGTTGCGCCTAATTACAGTATTAAATACATGTGTATACCCATAGCTTGGATGCCCATCCACAACTGTGGAGTGCCTTGAAATGTCCTATTGACATGAAAGGTGCTATGTAGAAGTAAATTATAATGTAAGACACTGAAAGAAGAGACTGAAGATCACATTCAATAGTCCCGCCTGTCCTTTTTTTTCTAAACTATTTTATTTTGTCTCCCGATTGTTTTATTTAGTGCCTCCCGTTCCTTCTGTTCTGAATTAGTCCAGTAACAAAAGTTTCCAAAACACAAAGTCCAGCTCCCCAAGCTGCATCAAAATACACTCACAAATCCAGTATCACAAAATCCAGCCTCTCAAAACACCAAAGCATGTGGAATCAGTCCTATGTCATGTCAAAGCAGTAACCATGTCAATATGATCGATGAGCTGGATTAATATCCGTAACAAATCCGGTTAATATTCCACTTGATTTTACCCAAATCCTTAGAGGATGTCTCAAAGCACTTCATATGATATACTGTAAAGAGTAGTGACTATGCATTTTACAGATGCACATTTCAGCTAATTTGCTCATAACAATGTCCCACAGACAGCAAATGCCTAATTTTTTGGGGGGTGAGAAAATGTCTTCTCTTTTCAAATAGGGCCATGGTATCTTTAACATCCCCCTAGATAGGCAGAAACGACTTCAGTTTAAAGTCTCATCCAAATGACAGCACCTTCAGCAATCAGCACACCTCATCATTGTGTTGTATTGTCAACCTAGACTGTCAACAATCCTGAAATGAAGCTTGAACCCACAACCTTCTCATTTGGAGGTGAGAGTGCTTCCAACAGAGCCAAGCTGACACCAAGATGGAACTGAAAAGGCACAGAAATCTGTGATTTCCCATGCAGTTCCAAGCAACAGCAGGTTATCGTGATCTAATAACAAAGGTTTCAAATTACTTGCCTCAGCAATCAGTGGCTGCTCACAGTTAAACGGAAGCTTGTTTTTACAGTACAGACAGAACGATAAAATTAATCATCGAAAGATACTGGATGAGCATTCTGCGCATTAAATAAGGTTTGCGTGGCACTTGGAATCTCTCAAAGATAAGTCCTTCTCATTTCATTCTGGCATGTCAAACATAATAACACTCAATTGCATGTCAAGACTCAGAGCTTTTTTTTGATGAACTGTGTGAGGGTCAAACTTTCTCATTTCCTATGTGATAGAAATAAATGCTTATGGAAAGGCACATCCATTTAGGGGAAAATAAAAGAAAGTTCCTGCCTCAGTCTTATGTTTTTTTTTAGTGAATCTTTTGCTTGTGTTTCTGATTCAGTGCTGGAGAATTGATCATTTATTCCATTTTTATCACCTACTGTCAGCTTCAAGCACTCCCAGGTTAGCTTCAGCATGGAGAGAGGCGCACTAAAGCTCTTTCTGTGCTGGTGAAGGCACGCAGATATTGCATTTGTCAGCTTTTCCTTATTATTTTGTTAAAATTAAACATACGCTCCATTCTTAAATAGAAACGCAGATTTCAGCACAGAAGGAGTTCATTCAGCCCATCATGCCTGTGCTGTGCTATCTCTAGGTGTTATCAAAAAGAGAAGGGAATTTCTCATGGTGTCCTGATAAACAATCCTCCAGATAAAATTGGTCATTCACTTCATGGCTGCTTATTGCTGTGTTCAAATTGAATGCTACGTTACACTACAAAATTCACAGCCATCTACTTTACAGTAATTCCTGTGAAGCACTTTAAGAAATCCTCCTGACATGAAAGGCACTATATCAAATACAAGGACTATTATTATTACTATTATCCAGTCTACCCATTTTTCTCCTCTTTCCCCTTTTTTTTATCTTTAATACAATAAATTGTTTCTCTTTGTATTAGGAAGGACAGCACCTTTCCTAAGGTAATTCTTATGAATGTGCTACAGTGTAGGAAACTGATATACAGATTCCAGCCCAGTGCTTGCTGTCAATATAACGTTTTTGCAGTACAAAAGTGTATTGAACTCCTAGTGAGGACTTTCTTTAGAGAAACCTCTGAAAGCATTGCCTGCTTGCAAGAAGACAAAATACTGTAATCAATTTCATTAGAAGTACTCGGCACTGACATTGGGTAGTGCTGGATTTAACCTCCAACGCTCCCACATCACAGGATGTTATTTCGAATTGCTTTGAGGCTCCGAAATCAGCATATGGATGGACATAGCTGTTGAACTATTGGAATCTATAAAAATAAAATACTGAAGGTGAATTGGCAGTACATTTTGGCCACTCAATGTATAATGTACATTGCAAAATGTACACAAAATTTGGTCACTTAATCCACCACTGTTTGTGGGACATTGCTGTGTGCAATTGGCTGCCTCGTTTTTCGCACAAAATACACATTATATTCTGTGAAATGTTTTGAGATATCTCAATAACGTGATAAGAAGCTATATCAAATGCAAGAATTATTATTATAATGAATCTTATTATTTTGCATTGCATTATCTGCTAGTCCACAAGGGATGGCTCAATGGTACCATTCATGGTTATTGTATCAAATATTTATTTGCTCATAAGTATAATTATCCTCTGATAGAAGTTTTTAAGAAAACAATAAATATCCTGGGAAAGGGCACGATGAGTGACTGTGCAATTTCCATTTATCTCGTGTCTTTCATGTCAGGAGGAAGGCTCAAAGCAATTTATGCAGCTGGCTGGACAGATGAGCCGTCAAAGAGGACCGAAAGCGCTGTCAAAGACAGTCTTTAAGGAAAGCTATTACAAGTTTGGAAAAAAAAATACAACACTGCAATCAAACTTAAGCACCGCAAGACACGACGGGTGCAAAGGATGCTATATAATAATAATAACCCATGCATTCGTAAAGTGTAGTGACTGTGTATTTTGTGGGTGAACCGTGGCAGCCAATTGTACACAGCAATGTCCCATAAACAGTGGCGGAGATCGGGTGACCAAATTATCATTATTATTATTTTTTGGAAGGGATTATTACCCCCACAACCGCCCCCCCCCAACCGCCCCTTGGAAAAGCGATCCGCCGATCGACCAACAAATAATGAGTGAAGTTGTCGTTCAGCGTTGCATCACTGCGAACAGCAGAGAAAACCGAGAAGCAGTATATTTTTATTGATTTTTGATTTTTTTAAAAAAAAATAAATAAATTGAAGTCAATGACAACGTTTGGGCGCATCTCTTCACAGCCACTGCGCTGCCCCTCGCAACTGCTTTGCGACAATGTGACGTGCGTGAGCTCCACCCCCCGCGATTGCGACAGTGCCGTGACTCGTTTGCGGCAGTGTGGCGGCCCACTCCTCCTCCTCCTCCCCGCTTGACGGCAGTGTGGCAGCTGCTCGTTGCTGTGGACCGGTCGGCGGCGCTTTCGGCCCCGAGTTCCAGATCTCATGGACGTCGGAGAGTTACTGAACTACCAGGTAAAGGCCTCGCTGCCTCCGCGCGTTCGGTGCGAGGACCCTCACACCCCACCCGCACACCCCCACCTCCACCCCCCCCCCCCCCACTCCAGCCGAAAAGCGACCCGACGGCCGCGGCGGCCACCTGGGCCGCGAGGCCTCGAGCTCGATTTGTGACCGAGCCCCTTGGCCCGGTGACGTGCGAGGCTCAGCCGGAGTCGGGGGAGGGGGGGGGGGTCGGGCTCTGGGGGTGCGTTTCAGGGCCGAGGCCTCGGTTGACCAGTTAGAACTTGCTGGGGGATGACCACCTGCTAACCCCCACCCCTCCCCCACCCCTTCCCCCCCCCCCACCCCACCCCCACCCCCCCCCCCCCCACACACACACAAGAATGTCACAACAGTGCTGGGAGTTAGGTGAACTCACTCTTAACAACAACTTGTGTTTATTGCGCCCTGACCCCCCCGGGGGTGGCGTCCCGAGGCGCTTGACAGTGGCAGAGTCTGACCTCGAGCCCGGGTGTGGGGGTGGGGTGAGCGGGAGGGGTGGTGACCGACCGTGTGGACGATCAAAAAGGAAGGTTCCTTTGGGCGGCGTTTGAAGGGGGCCAAGGCGGAGGGATTGAGGGAGGAAGTTCCAGAGCTTCGGGGGCGGGGGGGGGGGGGGGGTGTCGTGGCTGGAAGCACGGCCGCTGATGGTGGAGCGGAGGGGGGGGGGAACGACGAGGGACGGACAGGAGGCCGGAGGGTGGCCGAGCGGAGGCAGCGGGTGGTTGAGTGGGGGCTGAGCAAGTCAGGAAAGGTAGGGAGGCGCGAGGGCGTGGAGGGATTTGAAAACGAGTGAAGGGGATCTTGGAAGTCGATGGGTTCGGTAATTGGGAGCCGGTGCCGCCTGGCAAGGAATGGTGCGATGGGCATCCGGAGTTTTGTCGGGTGAGTATCCGGGCGGCGGAGTTTTGAATTCATTGGGTTTTGTGCGTGGTGGAACCGGGGAGACCAGCGAGGAGGGCGTTTGAAAAGGCCAGCCGGGAAGTGACAAAGGCATGGATGAAGGCTTTGGCTGCTGTAGGTGTGAAGTATGGAAAGGGAGTTTTTCTGTCCCACTGACAATCCCAGGATAGCGTTGGTCATTCGCTTCATGACTGTTTGTGGGATGTTGTTGTCCACAAGTTGGTTGCTGTTTTGTCCGTAAAACACGGTCTATCCACTTTCGAATACAATCCTGTGCATCGCTTTGAGATGTCTCGGTCTTGTGAAGCTGCTATAATCAAACGCAAGATTTGTTATAAAGCCTTAAGTCTGGCGGTTTTCACATATGAGCTGGAGAAATATAACCCTCAATGAATGGACTTTACTCATTTGGAAGTGGCACATCTTCACTTGTATTCAGAGATTTGACTCTCTTCTCCCAACCAGCCTCTGGCATACACACACAACAATGCCTTTCTTAAACATGGTTTCAAGTTTCCTTTTAAAAAAGAATGGATTTGCAATTTGTTTGGTTGGAAGTGGAGTACAAGTGTCAATTAACAATGGAAATTTAATAAAACTCAATTCAGTTCAAAGCTAAGACTAGGCCAGAATATGATGGTGGGTACAAGTATGATTTCCCAGCAACAGCCACTGGATTTCTGTAAGTCGGTCAATCTTCCCTACCTTTGCAGTGTAGCCATGCATTCTGAATTGAGAGCAATGAAGGTGATGCACTGTAAATTGGAAATAATTGTATATTTTCAAGAAAATCCTCACGGTCAATGGGCATTTCATTATAGGAAAGAAATCAGAGCCATGGAGAAGTGCAAAAGAGATTTAGTGAAATATTACCACTTCTTGGAAAAGACTGGAAACACAATATTATCAAAATTAATGCCACAATTTAACTGAGATTATCATTTATTTTGGTTTACAATAGTTGCAAAAGAAACTATCCTTTCCTACAGGAAGCCCAAGCTCAAAACATGAGTTGACAGAAATATTTTTCTCTCATCTGGACAAAAAATAATACTTTCTGTGTTAATGCTGCAATTAATGATAGTCTGAATCCAACCACTTCGTAACATAACATGTAGGAGCAGGAGTAGGCCATTCGGCCCCTCGAGCCTGCCCCGCCATTCAATCATGGCTGATCTTCTAATCTAACTCCAGGTAATAACCTGAACCTGCCTTATCCCCATATCCCTTAATCACTTTTACACTAAGAAATCTATCTATCTCAGTCTTGAATATGTTCAAGGACTGAGCGTCAACAGCCCTTTGGGGTAGTGAGTGCCATACATTCACCACCCTTTGAGTGAAGAAGTTCTTCCTCAACTCAGATCAAAAGGGCTGACCTCTGATTTTAAGGTTGTGACCCCTGGTTTTAGTTTCTCCAACCGGGGGAAACAATCTCCCACTATCTACTCTATCATTGCCCTTTGATGATCTTATAGGTTTCTATAAGATCCCCTCTAATTCTTCTATATTCTAGAGAATTGGTCAGCCTATCCTCGTAACTCATCCCCTTCATCCCTGGCACTAACCTAGTAAATCTACGCTGCACCCCCTCCAAGGCAAGTACATCCTTCCTTAAATAAGGAGACCAAAACGACACAGTATTCCAGGTGTGGTCTCACCAGGGCCCTATACAGTTGCAGCAAGACTTCCCTACTCTTATACTCTAATCCTTTCATAATGAATGCTAACATACCGTTTGCCTTCCTAATTGCTGCTGCACCTGCAGACTAACTTTCTGTGATTTGTGTACAAGGACACTCTCTGGATGCTAACACATTCCAATCTCTCCCCTTCTAAAAAATAACCCGCTCTACTGTTTTGGCTACCTAGGTGGATGACTTCGCACTTCCCTACATTATACTTCATCTGCCACCTACCTGCCCAATCGCATAACATTTTTATATTAGTATCATGTAATGTCAGTTATTCTACTCCACTATAAATGTTATATACATTTCAAGTGTAGAGAGAACTTTCATATTAAAAATAAAATGAAGAAGGGTTAACATTTTCATGCAATCTTGAAATTTATACAGCAATACATCTTCAAGTTATAATAATATAATCCTTGCATTTAATGTAGCACCTTGTCACATCTTAGCGACGTCTCAAAGTCAATTCACTGTAAAGTGAATTGACTATTTTATAGTACTTCAATTGTGTCTTGTGTGTAAAAAAAATAATTTGGTCACTCAATCCAAGACTGTTTGTGGGACACTGCTGTGCACTATTGGCTGTCGCGTTTCACCCACACATATACAGTTAATTCACATTACAGTATATTCTGTGAAGGGCTTTGAGACGTTGAGAAGACATGAGAAGCGCTATATCAAATGCAAGGATTATTATTATATCATTTACATCTCATATCTTGTTTGAGTGATGTTTGAGTTCCATCCTTTTGTATTACCACCTTTACAGGTGTTATTTAACGGAGAAAATAAATCCATTAGGTTCAAGCTTAGTAAAACTCAACACATGGTGGGGGGTGGGGACATTATTGATTTTAAAAATGTAGATTAACTGTGAAGGACTATGTCATTACAGGGAAAGATGAGGTTAAAAATAGTCACAAAAATAGACAGTTACCTTTACTCAACAAACATCAACTTACTTCATGTCACCTACCTGATCCTCTTATTTCCAAGCTTTACAGAAAACTGCTGCATTGAAAATAACATGTTGACAGTGGTGAGAACATGGAAAGTAGTCCTTTCTACTGGAGTTTCAAAGTTATGATTTTTAAATAAGATATTTTAAAAAAATTAGAACATTGACTCCATCTAATGGTCACTATGCAGAGGAATTGTATTCTACATTATAATACATTTGATATACAAAATTCTTTACAGAGATATGCGTATTGTGTTTCTGGGTAAATGTTGGATACAAAGTAGAATTTGCAGTGCCATTACTGGTGGTGGTGTAGTGGAACAGTTTATGATATCAGCTGTAGGAAATTGTTTCATGGAATAGTTGAAGAATTTGGTTTCTTATTTCCCAGGTAACTCAACTGCTCCTATTCTCAAACAAAAACAGAAGTCACTGGGAACACTCAGTAGGTCAGGCAGCATCTATGGAGAAAGGAAAGTGAGTCAGAGCATTCTGATGAAGGGTCGTGGACCCGAAATGTTGAATTAACATAAGGAATTATGTTAAGATTTGTCAGAATTCCAAGTACACATTCGGACTTTATAATTCACATTCTTAATATTAATCACTCGGGTCATCAGCAATGAGCTACAAATTATAATTAATTGTTATTTTTTNAAAATACTTTACAATAGTGATCACAACCTTTTACCTCTGGAATCCGATGCTGGACTTTGATTAAACTCCTTGCCCTATGATTTTGATATTTAATCATGGTCGTTACTTAACTCGGAGATACTTGGCAGATGTAAGTTGCTGCTTAATTGACCAACAACAACCTGCATTTATACAGCGCACCGCAGTGCAGCGTCCCAGATAGGAGTTTTTATACATAGTTTCTTTTAAGGATATATCTTCAGCTAGATGACATTTAAAAAGGTCAACTTTTCAAAATCATCCACAATAGGAGAAAAACCTGCAGTTTTTTTTTGTCTGGAAAAGAATGTGTTGCTAATTTTGTGTTTTTGTCATCTAATTGCGGTGATGTCTGTGACTGAGTAATTTGTTTTGAAGAATAAGTCTTGTTCCAGGTGACATTTTATTAAGATTTAGTTTGTTAAATCATCAATAATAGCAAAAAAGACTGTTGCCTCAAGTATGAGAAAGATTCTGTGGCTAATTTGGTTTTCATGTGCAAAGCCTGACAGAGGTGCAAAACGGCCCCGTGGTGCTGATGAAGATGATGACGATTTAAAGGTATCGCACAAATATGGTACAGCCAGGGACAGAAGAAGTTACTATGAAGATGCGAGCCTTCCAGTGGATGAAGAGGATGAAGAAGGAGGCAAGAAGAAAATCCTAGATTTAATGGAAAATGATGAGGTAATATCTCTGAATTGCTATGTCTTGTTGATCAACCACATTTGAGAGTGGTGTGATTGTATTTCAGAATTTTCCTTTACATAGAACGTTGGAAAGATGGACAGTATGTTTTCACCTATGAAGGTGTTTTATTTAATTGAATTTGATGCTTTTTAGACTTTGTTCATGCACTCTGCATAGAATGAAATTCTTGAGGCTAGGTTTGAGCCTCAGCTGTCCTTCCTTGAGACGAGCTCCTGAAATGAAAGGCGCTATACAAATGTAATTTGTTGTTGTTCCTGCTTCATATTTGATGGTTGACCAAGACTGCTTTCCTTCACTTCTGCCACATTGCCCAGCTCCACCTTACCTCACATCTAATACCACTGAAACCCTCATACATGCTTTTGTCACCTCCCGCTTTGACTTCTCAAACACACGCCTCGCTGGTCTCCCAGTGGCACTAGCCACAATCTCGAGGTAATACCAAACACATCACCCACATCAAAGTCCTCATGGGCAACCCTAATCTTTGCCAGACTCCCCTAGCTCCCTGGCTCCAAATGGATTGGATTCAATGTCCTCACCTTCACATCCAAATCCCTGCATGCTCTAGCACCTCCCTACCTCCCTGACCTCCTCATAGCCCACTCCTCTCCCACTCCCTACAATCAGCTAACATCGGCCTGTTGCTCATCCCACCCCTCTCTGTGCCACTGTGGGTGGCTGCACTTTCAGTATTTACACAATCACCCAAATTCTGGAACTCTGCCTCTATCCCTTCACCTATCCACAAATCCCACTTGAAAGCCTACCTCTTCGATAAGGCCTATGGTCATCTTCCGCACCGCCTCCTCTGAGCTCAACGTCCAATCCCACCGCTATGTGTGTCTCGGAGACGTGATTGCAAGTTGTTGTTGATGTGAAATTGTTGTTGGGTGCTAAGCGCTATTTTCTTCCAATCAGTACATTTTATAAATATGTTACAAGTTCATCTATAGATGCAATTCAACAAGCGTTCTTTAGTTTTATTTTGTCATTTCATTCATTATTTAAAACTGCATTATATTTATTTGTAAATGAAGCAGGAATACATTGGCAGAACTCACTGAATGGAGCAGAATAGCTCGCATGAAAGAATTGTATATAATGATCATAACAGCTGCTCTGTGGATGTTAACGATTCCATAGCACTATTTGAAAATAAAGTTTCTCCCATTTATCCTGGCTAACAATCCCACAAATAAAATTCTGCATTCACTGAATGAAAGTTTGTGGGATTCTGCTATGCAAACTGAATGCCATGTTACCCTACAAAGACACAGTCGCAGCACTTTACAATACATCCTGTGAAGCACTAGGAGATGTTTTAGTGATGTGATCAGGCATTATATCAAATGCAAGGATTAATTTATGATTATTTACACTATTAGTAACAAATAAAGTTCCCAAGACTGTACTATTTCCATTTGGAGTATCATTGTTTGTAATGTAGAGCTTTTACCCTCTGGTATATTTTTTTAAGATTCTTATTTTCACGCAGCGAGCATATGTTCTATGCCACTGCATTTTATGCAACCAAGTTGGAAAGAAAAAAATGGGTTAGACTAAATGCTGTCTTCTATGAAGCAATGGCTGCTTCCATGCTGATAGGAAGCTGTGCTTTGTTTATTCAAAATGTTACTGATTTAGGCTATGTTTCCCCAAAGATTTGGCATTATTGATTTGTACTCCCAGCTCATTGTGCCTCCAGATCACTAATTTGAATCTTTGCATTTCATATCTGTTTTGAACCTTGTTGCTTTCTTGTAGGATGATCTTCCTTTTCTCACCTTTTTCCTAGACTCGAACTGCTGCTTTTTCAGACACCGCGGCATACTCTTAATGAGATTCTCATCTGGTTTCTAACTCCTGAAACCTCTTGCTGTTGAACAGAACTCTTTCAATTCCCAACTGAGCTATTCAGTAAATGATCTTCCAGCGAAATCTTTGGGATCATTGACCCCTATAATACAGTTTCAATCCCACCAGCAAATCTTTTGCTAACTGTGAAATGGTATATTTCAGTTGTTCAATGTTCTGTACAGAAGGTTCTTTAAAATGAACAGGATAGAAGGTCTGTCACTTTTATTTGTCTCCCTTGGGAGTAACTGAATCCTAGATGTCTTGTCGGTCATCTATTCTTCATAGAGTGTCGTTTATGATGGGGGTTGGGGTGGGGGAGGAGTATTCAGGTCACTATAATGCATTGAACTGTGAGTGGTCTTAATTGTTCCTCTGAGCCTTTTTTTTGTTTTTTTCTTTCCAAGTATCTACGTATTTGTTTTATTCAATACTGAAACAGTTGCTGCTTAAAACCAGGATTGAATGTGCTTTTGTGATTTTATGGTGCAGATTACAAGTTTGGAATCCTGTTAGATTTATTGATGGCTGGCACTTGGAGTCCTGTAGCTCAGTGGTTAGAGCACTCGCTTTGCAAGCGAGAGACCTGAGTTCAATTCCAGGCAGAGGGCGAAACCTTGGGCAAGTTTCCTTACTCCACACAGAGCCTAATAATAATCCCTCCAAAACCAAAAACAATAATAAATTGGTCATTTTTAATCTACGATTGTTTGTGGGACATTGCTGTGCGCAATTGGCTGCTGCGTTCGCCCACAAATATACAGTCAATTCACTTTGCAGTATATTCTGTGAAGCGCTTTGAGACGTCCAGAAGACGTGAAAAGCGCTATATCAACTGCAAGGATTATTATTATTATTGAATCAAAAAAGCTCAAATATAGTTTTATAGTTTGATCATGAGTGATTATTTGACATCAGACCCAAGAATAGTTTACATTTGTATCAAGAATAGTTTACGTTAATCTTAATAATATCCCTAATGTCCTTGAGCAATTTTTTTCTCTAATTCAGCCAGCTTACACAAATGTATTTCTTGTACAGAAACATTTATAAGTGAGATTTTGATGGAAACTAGTACGTATGTATACACCTAACATAAGTTTCCGTGTAGCATTTCAGATCGTGAAAGCAGTAGTGATACATTTCAGATAGGAGAGATGATGTAGTTTACAGGTTAGCAATTAGAAATCATCTTGGACTTTCATTCAAAGAATTCAATTTGGAGCACTGTACCTTGAAAGGAACAAAGGCACTGGAGATGGTTTATAGATGAGCAAGCATGACAATTTGAGATCTTGAACTTTTTAACTTATGAAAAGGAGGTTTTCAATCAAAACTAATTTGGGTTTGGTTATGGAGTCCATGATTGACTGCGTGTTTTGTGTGCAATTTTTTGAAGCGAATGGGCTTAATGAGCCAAATGCTTGTTCTTATTCCATATTTTCTTATATTTGAAAGTGTAAAATGAAGTTTCTTACTTTATCTCTCTGGCGCAGTGTTTATTACATTAATAATCCTTACATTTCATTTGGTACCTTTCATTTTGGGAGGACACCTCAAAGTGCTTCATGATATACAATGTGAAATATAATGACTGTATTTTGTAGGCAAATGTTGCAGAACAGTTTTGAGCTTTAGTTTTGCAAATGTAAAACAGAGTCCTGTTGCTGGAAAATATGCTCAGTTTGTATTGCAGGCCATATTTCGGAGAAGCCAAAATCATTTTAGTTATGAGCATTAAATAGCTTGTTCAAATTTCAAAATAGATGGGTCAGTTTTAATTTTGGAGCATACTTGAATGTTCATTTTTTATATAATTTGATTTGGATTTTACTTCGGATTTTATGAAGCACAGATAGGAGTAGGTATAATTTAGAAAACGATTCTCATATTGGGATAATATTTTAAACTCAACTCAATAAAATTTTTTACTGGTCTAGGTAAAGTGGGACCTGCTGGTGTTTCTGTGATGGGGAACTGACTTATGTACTCAGCACTGCAATTATTTGTGATATCCATTGATTGCTCCGACATGTAAAGAGTCTTCAGAAGGACTTGAGACAAAATAAATACTCATTTTTGTCACTACAACCTACCGCACTTTCAATAAGAAGTTATTTTTCACCACGTTAAATTAAATTCACAAATTCCAATTTTTTTTGAATTTCAAAATGTAGGATCTAATTAACAATTATACGTGTGAACCATATCAACAGTGATTTGAAATTTTTAAGGCTATCTGTTAATTAGTGTTGCTAAATATTGTGTCAAATTAGAGCTGTGAAAATACACCCAGAAAATGAATGAATTTGTAATATCATGGAGAGAAAAATGAGACCATTCTGTTTTAGGGATTGCTGTGCAGTTCGTGTAAGAGTAACTCGGTGATGAGGTATTGCAGAATGGTGCACGTTTGGTTATGGGACTTGGCTTCAATTCCATTACCAGATAGGTAGACTGAAAAGCTTTTCTATCTCAAGCTCTTGATTTTAAGCAAAGTGTGCGCGAAGTGGCAATATTCTGCATTGTAGATATCAGCCATAGTACACAGAGCTTGCCCATGTTCACACATCGTCCACTCTGGCCTGATGAGATTGGGAGTTTGCAGTGCATTAAACTACAAGGATCACACTTATATTTGACTGCTCTGGATTTCATTTAAGCGTCTTGCTGGGTCAGGGCCAGGAGAAGAAAACGTACTTGCCCCATGGTTTGCCGACCTGACTTTGTGTTCATGTTTTAACTGGGTACAAAGAAGAAAAATGTACCCCTAATGAGTTTGTTCAATATTGTTTTTGCTTCAGGCTGAACCTTTAGATGAAAGCTCAGTGAAGAAGATGATTCTGACGTTTGAGAAGAGAGCCTATAAAAACCAGGAGCTACGCATTAAGTTTCCAGAGAATCCAGAGAAGTACGGGTCTTTGCATTTTACCAATTCTCACAAGAATTTTTGTTATTTTGTTTAGCAGAAAAAAGTCAAGACACTTGGGTGCATTTCTGTCTTTCATATTCTAATAGTATTTTGTAAGGAACCTTCTTTGCTTTGGGAATGAATTTGAAAGATGACTTATTTATCACATGAATGTTATAAATATTTGGGATGATACCAAAAGATCTTCTCACTTTCATTCCCCAATATTAATGGAACATTATAATCAATCTGATTGACTTGCAGGTTCATGGAGTCAGAGTTGGATTTAAACGACATCATTCAGGAGATGCACGTGGTTGCCACTATGCCGGATCTCTATCATTTGCTTGTGGAGCTGAATGCTGTGCAGTCCTTGATTGGTCTCCTCAGCCATGAAAACACTGATATCCTTTTAACCCAATAGCAACATGTTAAATGCATTCGGGGAGAACATAGCTAGGATCGTGAGACTTTGTACATCGCTTGACATAAGTGACCTAAATCTGATTTGTTCAAAGTATTTGAATATGTTGGAGAAATCCAGTTAGGTGTTCATACCCAATGTATGTCAGAGCCAATTGAGGCTGCTTAGTTTAGATCGCCTAACTCAGCACAAGGCATGAACACATATTGTGACTAATAAAATCTTCTGTAGCATTGTTTGTCCACATTGTGTTGCATGTAAAACTTTACCAGCTTGATCCTTAACCGTTTCTACATGTCTCCATTGCGGTGGTCGACCTACTGCAAGAGCTGACTGATATAGACACGCTGCACGAGAGTGAAGAGGGAGCCGAGGTTCTTATAGATGCTTTGGTGAGTGTGCAGCACTTCCCGTTACTATTGATGCATGAACTTTGACTGTGGATCTGTGGATAGAACAGTGATGTGTGTGTGACTACTTGTGTCATGAATTGTTTCCTCTTAAGTACTAAGCAGCTGAAACCCTTGTGCATGCGTTTGTCACCTCCTGTCTGGAGTACTCAAACGCACTCCTCGCCGGTCTTACCAGCTCCACTATTCAAAAGATCCAGCTCATTCAGAACTCTGCCACCCGCATACTTACCTGGACCAAACTCCATTCCCACATCTCACCAGTTCTGGCCAGGCTCCCCTGGTTCCCTATCACCGAATGGATCGACTTCAAGGTCCTCACACTCATGTTCAAATCCCTTCACTCTCTGGCACTTCTCTGACCAACCCATTCCGAATCCACCACCCAGTGGCTTCGCTCGACTGGCACCAGCCTCCTGCGTTTCCCTCGCACCTTCCGCCCCACCATCGGAGGTCGAGCTTTCAGCCACTGTGCCCCGAAACTCTGGAACACTCTCCCCCAATCCCTCCGCCTTGCCCCCTTTCTCCTGTTTTTCAAGTTCCGCCTAAAAACCTTCCTCTTCGACCATCCAGGGCTCAGAGTCAGGCTCTGCCACTGTTAAGCGCTCTGAGATGTGACCCTGCGTGTATTTCAATTTTCTAATCCTTAGTTACTCATTCTACTTTTAGTTGTTTCCATTTGGCAGTGATGTAAAAATTATGCTTGGCTTTCCATACATGCAATGTCAATCACTGTCAATCAATCCACAATCTGGTTAAAATGATACCCACACCTCCAATGGACCACAATGCAAATTGAAGAAACCATTTTTCAGCCTTCTCTTTCTCAGCTCATGCTTGGATTGCAAGGACTTATGAAGCGAAGAAGAGAGTAGCTTTTATGTGCAATAGAATGGACACATCCAAAAAGCAAGATGGTATACATGTCCATTTATTACAATCGGTTTGTGTCAGGCTGAGCTGAATTAGATGCAGTCTCCCTAGGTTTGCACTCATAGTTTACTTCCTGCATTGAGCCGCGTCAGATACATATTCTCTACAGAAAATGCCAGGAAGATGTACATTGAGGTCTATATTGCACAATTCAGGAAAAGGCTTACAGATAACTGATCCTTTAGGAACCTGCATGTGTTTTGTGCCTTCCCTTCCCCGCCCCAGCCCATCCCACCCCCTGCCAAAACTTGCCTTGTGTGTTTACTATAAAAGAGACTGTGGTTTGGTGAATGTAATTTAAATTTCATTAGACAAACGTGCAACAACAACAACAACAACAACAAGATTCCATTTATAAAGCGCCTTTCACGTCAGGAGGACGTCCCAAGGCGCTGCACAGTTGGGTCATGACCCGAGCAGGGGGGAAATGGTCAGGGTGAGGGGAGGGGAGGGAGCGAGGAGGGGGGAAATGGTCAGGGTGAGGGGAGGGAAGGGAGGGAGCGAGAAGGGGGAAGAGAGTCGAGAGGGGAGCTGAAGGCTCGGTCAAAGAGAAATAAGAGCAAGGATATGCTGCATAGATATTTTGGATTATATGAGCATTTTATGCCTTTTCTATACCTGCGTTGAAATGTAATTACAACTGAGTCTTAAGAGAGGGATTTTAAAAGTTTTGTTTATAACGATTGTTAACTATTTATTTAATTGTGAAGGTAGGTTTAATTATTCTTATTATATACACCCTAAGAGTTACTACACTTGGAAGGAACACAGTGCCATACTGTGACTTATTGAAGGATTATAAAGGTTTGCACAGAACGTTGTTAATAAGAAGCTAAATGTGATTCATGTCCATTATTTAGAAAAGTACAAAACTTGTGTGAGGTAACACAAAAAGAAACATGGGAATCAGATGATGTCTCTGTACTGAGCTGTTTTCTTGGCCTGTCAGCAGATTCTGGGCTGTTTGATCATTTGTTGGCTTGGTGTATCTGCTTGGAGACTGAATTGCTTAAAAAGGCAAACTGAAATTTGCAGATGGTTGGTAATTTATTATTTAGATCTACTGGGAGAAGTGCATGCATTCATTTAAATAATGACCCAGTTAAAGGCTGCGAGTAACGATAGTTACAGTGGCTTATTAAAGGAGCAATCCGGTCTAAAGTGTGGTGTTAGTTATAAATCTAGTCATTTCTGCCACTAATGTCCAAAAAGAATGCGTTTTCTTTTCAACAAAAAGTTAAGAATCTTCCCAACCCCTCAAAAACATTGTAGATAAACATCAGCTCAAGAGTAGTACAGCTGTGCTGTCCTGTTCCCTTGGCACCGATATGGTATGGTGGAAGACGCGATAATTTCAGTGCAATTACTATTTCAAGGTGATCTTTAATTGCTGTAAAGCTTTGTCATTTAAAGGTGTGCTGAATTAGATTTTCAGAATAACAAATGATTAAGGATAAATTAGTTTTTGTTAAAGCAAATTACAAACTGTTCCAATAGCTTCAACCTTTTCTACCCTATTGATTCTTAAATGGGCAGCAATTATTACCGTAGCTTTATATCACTGTCAATATCCAGTAAGTTTCTTTTGAATAGAAATAAGACATTTTTATGACTATGTGAAATTTGATAGTGGTGTAAAACTAAAGAGAAACGATAATTAAAAAAAACTGTTCTACAAGAAGTTGCATGTTAGTAGTTTGGGGCTATTTGGAATAATGTTTAAACTTTTTTGAGTAATTAAATATTTTTGGATCAAATTTCTTAACTTGCCTAGATTTATCTTGTGTGGCAAATTATAAAGATTAGAGAAATGCAGAGATGCACAATATTAATTAAATTCTTCCAATTTGGCCTGTTTTAATGCATTGCTAGTTGAAACTGAAGCATTATTATTGTTCTCAAGAATAGTATAAAATATAATTCCAAGCTCTTGCTTTGGTACTTTCTGTTTGAGTATTTCAGCAAAATGACCAGAAAGTGTTGCATTGAAAATTTTCAATTAACGTTTGTAGATAATGTTTGTTCTCTGAAGGTCTAAATAGACCATTAATGAAAAAATCAATTGGATACTATCACTTTGAAGATAAGCCTCTCAGTGTATTTTAGTTCTTGCATGTATGTGTTTTTATTATTTTTGATTTTGCTCAAGTTTTCTCTGGTCTCACAAGAACCCCTTTGCTTCCTCTTTCACAAAATAGTTTGTATTTCTGTCTTTTAGAAAGCAAATGTGCAATTTTGAACTTGAGTTGCTATACAATTAACATTTAGATTCTTGAAATGTTGCAAAGTTTCTCGTTTTTTCATTAATTTTTTTTAAAAAATTGCTTTCCTTTGTGAAATCATTAAAATATCTCAGAAGAAGACTTTCCTAAAACAGGTCAAAATATATTTTAAGAAAATCACTGACTAACTTGGAGGCAGGGTGTACAAAGTAGTGGGGCTTAAATGGAACTTGATGACTTGTTTTGGCATATTGTTTGGCCACATGATCCAGAGAAGCGCTAACCAGGCTCGACCCGTCTGCACAGAATGAAGAGTAATTCCCACACAGCAGCCGAAAGAGCTTTAAAAATTGACAACTTGGACAACCGCTGCAGGTGCAATCATTTAAAATTCATCTCTGTGCCTGAGAGTGTCAGCGACTCCAGAACGAAAAGGCTGTCTCAAGAAGATCACAGGGAAGTTGATGTGGATGCTGCTTGACTGCTCGTTCAAAATAGAACTGTTTCACTAACCTTATCGGCTTCAAAGGCTTCAAGTTCGGTTTTTCAATCTTGGTGCTCATTGATTTGATTCAATCGGGGGAAGGGGGAGATTTTGTGCAGACTTCGGAATGTAAGATTTTTGACGGACAGGAGCAAAGTATTGAGATCTGTCATCTCCAGATTTGTTCATTGTTGCAGATAACATGAGCTGCCAATCTGGAAAAGGGAAGAAAATTTGGCCGGACAAACTCCCCTGTCTCTTATCTCAAGGGTTCAATTTATTGTTTGAAAGTGTCTGACTCAAAGTACAGCTGTACAATTTGTACAGTTACTAATTGTGGGTTCAAGCCGGGACTTGGAACTCATGCAATCTAAGCTGATACTCCCAATGAATTGCTTGGGGTGTGCGGTAATGTTGGAGGCACCATCCTTTATGTGAGACATTAAACTGAGCCCTAAACGTTAAAAATCCGATAACACTATTTGAAAAGAGAAGGGAGTTTCTCCCAGTGTCCTGACCAACAATCTTCCAAATGAAATTGGTTGTTTTTCATCCTTTTGAGGGAAATAAATGGAATACTATGACAATGACAAATTGTGCATCTTCTGAATGTTTTTCTAGGAATAAATAGGGGAATACTAGTGGCACTTTGAACCAGATTATTGAGTACTCATTTTTTTATAAAAGAGGTTTTAATTCGCTGATACTTCAAAGAAGGTGAAACTGTTACTACTAATGACTAAAGAATTTATGCCCGCAAATGTAGTACCTTATATCGCCAGACTACAGCACTACCTCACCCCTCACGCTGCTGAAACTCTGGTCCACGCCTTTATCACCTCAAGGCTGGACTATGGGAACTCTCTACTCGCCGGCCTTCCCGGCACCTCCCTCCACAAGCTGCAGGTCATTCAGAACTCTGCAGCTCATGTACTGTCCTGCACCAGACACCGCGACCACATCACTCCCACCCTCGCTCGCCTCCACTGGCTCCCCATCCCCCCGAGGATCAATTTCAAGGTCCTCATCCTCACCTACAAGGCCATTCACGGCCTTGCTCCCTCCTACCTCTCTGACCTACTATCCCCCTACCTACCTGCCCGTACCCTCCGTTCCTCCGGCTCCGGTCTGCTCCACATCCCCCGCCCCAACCGCCCTACCATCGGTGACCGGGCCTTCAGCCTCTCAGCCCCCAGGCTCTGGAACTCTATCCCCCAGTGCCTTCGCCGCTTCCTCCCTTTCCTCCTTCAAGGCCGGTCTCAAGACCTTTCTCTTTGACCGAGCCTTCAGCTCCCCTCTCGACTCTCTGCCCCCTACTCACTTCCTCCCTTCCCTCCCCTCACCCTGACCATTTCCCCCCCTGCTTGGGTCCTGACCCAACTGTACAGCGCCTTGGGACGTCCTCCCGCGTGAAAGGCGCTCTATAAATGGAATCTTGTTGTTGTTGTTGTACCTGGGCTTTTCTGTTGCATGCTACAGTACATACTGCAGCATTTCTTCTTCAGCAGTTAATGGTTACCTTTGCATCTGAATTGCACACCAGGGACATAGCTGTAGACAACTAATAGCTCAAGCCAGAGAAGCAGTGTGTAGACTATTCCGGGTGGACTTGATTATAGTGGTTTCATAATTGGTTCATCCAATTCTACAATCAGAACTTTTCTTGATTCAAAATACATCTTTGATTACTGATATTGATATATACTGACCAGATTTAGCAGGTTTCTCTCTTAAGGTGCACCAGTTAGAATTTGTTGTATACTTGGCTATTGTCTAATGTTACCTATTTCGGTGCTTTTTATTGTCGAAACTAAAACAAATATGTGTTTGTTTCCTTACTCCGCACGCCTCTTGTTTACCTAGCAGTAAGTAGGAACTCATTGTTAGTAGATTGGCGGATCGCTTTTCCGTGGGTAATAATTTCTTCAAAAAAAAATGGGTCTCTTTAATCCACGACTTTTTGTGGGACACTACTGTGGGCAATTGGCTGCCGGGTTTCGTCCACAAAATATACAGACAATTCACTTTATAGTATATTCTGTGAAGCGCTTTGAGATATCTCAAAGACGTGATAAAGCGCTATATCAAATGCAAGGATTATTATTATAACAAAGAACTTAAAATAAAGCAGGCTCTTTGTTGCTCTGTGTTCGCTCTTGTGGTGAAAACTTCAAACATGCAAGCCAAAACTTTGAAGTTTTAGTTGAAGGAAAATGGAAAATATGTTTGACAAGACATTCAAATAAAAATAGGTTGAAGGGAAGGGCAGCAAGCGACTAATAATTGAGCTTTGAAACTGCCCTTTATGCCCTTGAATCTAAATGGATTGATCAAAGTCTGGAGATTTTTATATTTGTTTAAAATGGAATCTGGGTTTCAATCCTTTTTCGTCGAGGTAACTTTGTATAAGAAAGATAATTTAAAGTTTCATTTAAAGAGCACAGAGTGATGTAAGAACAGTCGATATGGATTTAAAAGTAGCTGGTCATGCTTCACAAATATACTGGAAATCTTTGAAGAGGTGACTAAGCTTGTTGACTAGGTCAGTCTTGGATAGAATCAATTTTCTTTCACAAGACATTTGATGAAGTTCCACAAATGAGATTTATAAAGCAGGTTATAGTTCATCGAACTAATGGTAAATTAGCTAATTGAATTTAATGCTAACTCTGCAAAATGAGCAAGGTATGATAAATGTCTGGGGGAATTGACTAGCAGAGGTTGATGCCATAATATTTCAAAATGTGCTGATGGCACCAGGCTATGTGGAGTAGACACGTGCTGGCATGAGCCTAACAAACATCACAAGGGCTGACAATGAACAAAGCTGGAAAAGAAAATCATAAACAGAAGTGATGATGATGTTAAGGCTGTTAAGTGCTGGGTGTATCTTGACTAATAACTGGAAACATTTGTTTCTTATCTAGTGTAAACATTATGAGGTTACATTTCAAATATTGCATGCATGTTGCAGAAAATGCCTTCTAAGAAGCATTCATAAATAAAGGTAGGTTTTGGAGAAAAGTAGGAGAAGATTTGGGAGTTGAGTACTCAATGTTATGAGAGGAAACCCACAGAACTGAACTTGGGAGAAGACATCATCAAGGTTTCTAAAAGTGCTCTCAGGAATCGTGGAATGCCACCAGGTTATTTAACTTGGACCATCAGTGCAGAACCAGATGGTGTTAGCATGAAATTCACAAGCCTAAGGCAAAACTTCAGATTTAAAATAAAGTTTTTCCTGCTACGGTGATGGCTAGGTGAAGGAGATTCTCTGATAAGGTTATAATGCTCCATTGGTTGGTCCCAAAAAAGAAAAAGAGACAGATTTGTATTTGGTTAAAAATAGGATTGAGACTTATAAGGATAGCAATGATCAAATACTATATGGAGCATGGAGGCTCTTAATCTACTGGGACCATGAAAATGTTATGTCAAAGATGAATAATGTTCGAGAGATTTCGCAGTTCTGCTTAATTTCACTATGTGGACAGAGAAACTTTGGAGAACATAAAGTTCATGATGTATAGTCCATGTGAATATTGGGCCTAATGGTCTGACTCATTCTTTGTCTTTCCATGCTTGCTAATATTTTGCTTGTAAATTCAAAGAATATTATTGCATTGAAGAACAAGAAATACATAATAATAATCCTTGCATTTGCAAATAAAAGCAAATATTACATTGACTGCTCTACTGTATTACTGTACAATACAATCACAGCAAATAGTCTTTATAATAATAATAATAATCCTTGCATTTGATATAGTGCTTTTCACGTCGGGAGGACGTCCCAAAGCGCTTCACAGAATATACTGTAAAGTGAATTGACTGTATATTTGTGGGCGAAACGCGGCAGCCAATTGCGCACAGCAATGTCCCACAAACAGTCGTGGATTGAAAATGACCAATTTATTATTGTTTTTGGTTTGGGAGGGATTATTATTAGGCTCTGTGTGGAGTAAGGAAACTTGCCCAAGGTTTCACCCTCTGCCTGGAATTGAACTCAGGTCTCTCGCTTGCAAAGCAAGTGCTCTAACCACTGAGCTACAGGACTCTGTGTCAGGTCGACTCTGCCTGGGTCACGCTCGCCAAGTATATTAAGGTAAATTAACCTCAGGCACAGCTTCTTGCACTGTTAATATTATCTAGCAAACCACCTGTGAGCAAGCAAGTCTGCTGGGCAAGCACACAACTTTAGTTGTACTTACTCAGTTATGAAAAGGATTGACATTTTTCTTACATTGCTACTTGTGTTAATTTTAGTTGGACGGTCAAGTGGTGGCACTGCTGGTTCAGAACCTGGAACGATTGGATGAATCGGTGAAGGAGGAAGCAGATGGTGTTCACAATACCTTGGGTAATATTGCTGTTCCTGAATTAATGAGTATTTTTATATTCTGAACAGTGTCCTGTAGTACGTTTTGTGGCTAAGGAGCAGTGTTGCTGGTGGTATTTGTAATAATTCTACTGCTGAAGTGTAATTGTATTGTACGTTATCTAAAAAAGATATATCCAGCAGTAAAGTAGAAAATAATTACAGCAAAAGAAATTCCATTCCATCTCTAAAAGTTGAAGTATACCATAAGGCTGAAGGACTCCCAACTGGCACATGTAGAAAAATGGTCATGTTGTTCAACATTTCTGATTGTTTTGGAAGTACAGACTATTCTTGTAAGACTGAATTATAATATTTCCTGAGATATTAGGTTATTGAACCTTAACTCCCAATCACTTTGTTTCACATTGCATCACGGGACATCCACAATAACCTTGAGAATAAAGCAAAGTAGCAAGCTTATCCCAAATGGTTTAGGCATTCGTGCTCCTGTTGTAAGAGTAAGAAACGTGCATGAAAGTCACTCAAACCAATCCACCAACAAGTCCTGCCCTGACTGAACAATAATTTGTAGATCGATTTGATTATACTGCCAGCCAGCTGGCTTATTGACAAGATGTAGTTTAGTATTTCAGAAAGACGTTCTGTGCTTTACTAATGATCTCACGCTGCTTACAAAACTGCATGGTTCTGTCAATCATTCCGTGTATATAAGAATCATTTTTTTCTATCTGGTCAGAATGCAAAAGTAAGGCAAACAGAAGAAATGCTCAGAACCAGCACAAAGGGTTTACGAGAGGCAATTGCCTGATTTTGCAGTCATTGTGCAGTTGAATTCCAAATCTTTAAGCATCATTAGTATTTTCCTAATTTTAGGATTCCAGACGGATAATTCACAAAATGCCACCAGCAGCCATATAATGATTGGGAATAGTGGACCCTGTGCAATTCTATATCAGTTCTGTCCATTATTTTGCCGTTGAGCCAGTGCTCAACATGCCAATGCAATGTGCAGAATCACTGTCAGTGGGTCCAAGACCCAATCTGGAGGAACTGGTCAATCTGTAGATTAATTGTTTTTTCTAAATCCTATTACAGTCCATGGAAAACCTGCTCCCATAGAATGTTTACTTGTTTTGTGTTGCAATGCCTTATATTGGGGAAGAAGCAAAGCAACGTGGTTGTCAAATCCACTTAATAATTTCAGACGGAAGACCCAGGTGTATTATAAATGAAACCCACCGGTGGGAATACTAATGGGGATGCTACCTGGGGACACTAATTGTTTGTGACATCAGTTCGGCTGTTTGCACACTTCTATTACCTTTAATTTATTTCATTCTGAACTCTATATATCAGAACGCTTCACCTGCCTTGGCCTCATTTTGGTTGAATGTTGAGAAACCTCCCCTGACTTACAGCCTTTGTTAAAGGTTTCGGGCTGAAGCCAGTTGCTTGCAACTGTGAAAGAAAATCTGAGTTACAAACAAGACATCGTCTATAAAAATGTTAATCTTCAAAGTAGGTAGGAAATCAGGCTGTTAACTTTTAACATGAACATCCATGATCTGAGAATAAAACCTGTCCAAATCTGTTGTTGCATCCTGTTGCTGGGCTTCAAAATGGGATTTGGAGTCCACAAAATCATAGAAATTTACAGAACAGAAGGCCATTTGGCCCATCGTGTCTGTGCTGGCTCTTTTTCAGAGCAATCCTTTCAGTCCCATTGACCTGTCTTTTCCCCATACCCTTGGTAACTCATTCCTTGAAAGGTATTTGTCTAGTACTCTTTTGTAAGCTAATATGGAACCCAGTGGCAGAGGTTTGGAGCACAGCATGCACTGATGGAACAGTGAAGAGCCAAGAGCAGCCAGATGGTTTTCTGTGTATATGTGCAGTGATATCACTGGTAATGTTATCGGCATGATATAGAGTGGCTCTTGATCATGTCTTGATAAAGAAAACCATCTCAGTATCAAGTCAGGCAATCGTATTTAATTTCAAGTTGCTTAAAAATTTAAATAAGTATAACTTGGGTTTTCACATATTAGATAATAAAATTTAGATCATTAAATTGCCCACAAAATATACAGTCAATTCATTTTACACTGTATTTTGTGAAATGCTTTGAGACATCTCGGAAGACGTAATAAGGCGCTTTATCAAATGCAAGGATTATTGTAACATTTGCAAAAAAAATTGGGAATACATTTTTTGAGAGAAAGGGTAGGAGGGAAATAGCTAGCACTTGCAATGGTATTAATTCTCAGATGTTAAATTGCTCGAAAAAGTGGAAGTGCCTGGGAAACTTAACATTACATTTGATGATGTTTTGCTGATCACCCAGTGTTTATATTTGTTTGTTATAGTGATACAGTACTAAAATAGATTTTCATGGCTTACCACCGTGGTCCATTCTTTGCATTTTACCAGATTTCTATCACAGTTGTATATTAACGTAATGAAAAATCAACAGCATAAATAGTACTGAATTAAAATTATGTCAGTCTGTTTCAGTCAGTCTGGACTGATGCAAAGGCATCTGTGTGCATATTTGGTGGGGACATGAAGTGCGGATTCTGTACACAATGCAGGTTTATCAAATCTCTTTGTAATTGTTTGATTTGAGATTTTAAAATCTTTTAACAAAGTTACACTTTTACACAGCTGCAACCTTGAGCCTTAAACAGCTCCCTGACATTGTTCAGTTTTCTCTGTTCCAAACTTTGAACAGCATCCCTTTTTAGTGCTTGCTTCTTTCTCTGCCATGCATGATTGGTCTTTTGTGTCAATCACGGCTGAGCAGTATTTAATTTGATGCAGGACCTCTCAGTGCGAATCCACCCATTTGGTCAGGTGGAATTTTAGTCGTGCCTCATTTTTTACATCCTTTTTACTTTGTGGACACGAGTGAATGAATGGTCTCTGCTTTGCAACAGCTGTTCACATTGTGCTGTGGCATTTCTTTACGATTTTGATTTTCAGTTTCTCCAGGATAGACTTCTAAATAATGAGGTGCAGAGCTTCAGCATTTTTGTAAGCTCTGTCCATCATAGACTACATCCATCAGAGATAAAAGGCAAAATACTGCAGATGCTAGAAATCTGAAATAAAAACAGAAGTCGTTGCGAACACTCAGCAGGTCAGGCAGCATGTATGGACTGATGAAAGGTCATCGACCTGAAACGTTAACTTGCTTCCTCTCTCAATAGATGCTGCCGAGTGTTCCCAGCGACTTCTGTTTTTATTCCATCATAGGTACTTTGTCACCATTTAAATATCCTTTGATGTTTTTTGAGCTTCGGGGTTCAGAGCTGAAGAGCTTCCTTTAATCTATATCCTCTAAATCTGCCCAAATGTGGCCTTCTTGTCTTTACTCTTCACCATAACCTCCACTCCCCCCCAACGCATGCCACTGACCTGGAAAAACTGTGTTGAGTAAGAAGATTTCTATAATCTATTATTTGAATGTTTCCATTAGAAAGTGTTTAATTGAAAAAAATGCATATGTTTTTAAACCAGTTTAGCTTCACTGCATCAATGCAAGTTGTTATTGTTTGTGTATCTTTTTCTCTCTCTCTAATCCTGTATTTACCTGGATCGCGTGCTTCTGGTTTACACTCCAGCTTGTGCAATTCAGGTTTGCGATTTACATTACAGCTCCATGTCACTCCTGTCTTCATTGTGAATACATGGGCATATGGATATAGATAGACAGTGTGCGGTTTTACTGTATTTCTACTTGCTGTTTTTAAAATATGACGAAAAACTTGCATGAATACTTTTATGTTTACCTTTAAAAAAGACAAATGGGGAGGGTGGCAGGAAGAAGCCTCAACTAAATGTTCTGCTTGAAAGAAGCAGACTTGTGCTTCCCCAGAACTCAGCTGCATGCAATAGGTCAGCAAAAGGGTTATTGTCACTTTTAATTTGGTCCTGAATTTTGCACTCACTGTGGATTTTCTTTTTCACTGCAGCTATCATAGAGAACCTGGCTGAATTCCGCCCAGAGATGTGCACTGAGGCAGCCCAGCAGGGTCTTATGCAGTGGATGCTGAAAAGAATAAAGGTAGCCCTTGATTAAAATAAAGTATTGTTCAAAAAGCCAGAGTTAAAAGTTACCTATTTAATATTGGCAGAAATTTATGCAATCATTTATCTGTTGTTTTAACATCTTTTCTGCTTGGTCAATACAGTTGATCTTTCACATATTTCATTGTATTTTTGGAGAACTTTAATAGCTGTTTAGTGCTAAAACTGAATTGTCTTGAAACTGTTTTGCCTTTCAATATTGAATTAAAAAGTACATTGGAACCAGCAAATTGGAAGTGGAGGAAGGAGAGGTATAGCAATTTTTTTAAAAGAAAATTAATAGTATGAAATGTGATTCAAAATTTCTTGCTTCAGGACTTAATTTCTCTTCCTCCACCCCAAAAAATCCAGGAGATCAAATTTGCTTCCTTTCCTCACACATAGCATATTATATTTGTCTGTCCAGTTTAATTAGATTCGTGTCAATAGAAAGTCCACATTCGTAAGGATGTTCTCCTTGGGAAGTTTAGCATTTCAACTGCAATTAATCAGTTAGTACCCACCGTTTTAGGGTTTTGTTAAAAAAAATCTCCATTTCAGTCAATAGAAGGACTACTGATCGTCACCTGCAGGCTGTTTGGTCCACGGTTTCTCATGTTTTCTTCTACTCAAAATTGATCAAAAGCAATTGATTTTATTTTACCAAGTGACCTTTTATACAAACTTGTGACACAGAACAACAACACCCACAAGCAGCAACATTGAACGGCACTTGTCAATTCTCTGGTTCAATTATCTACAGCAGTGAAGCGTTAGAACGTAGAAATTTTCAGCACAGAAGGAGGCCATTTAGCCCATCATGTGTATGACACACCTACCTGTATTATCACCAATTGATTATTAATCCTACTTTCTAGCTCTATCCAAATATTATTACTCCTCAGGTTCTTAGCCACATTCCTTCTGAATGATTTTATTGATTTAACCTCAGTAGTCATTTGTGTTAATGAATTGCATGTATTATCAATGCTCTGAAGGAAGAATTATGTACTAACGTCCTCTGTTTTTGCTTATGGTCCTGAGACCTGCCACCTACTCACCTATTCCCCAAAGGAAATAGTTTTTCCCTATTTATATGGTTATGCCCCTTCAGAATCTTAAAGATTGTATCACATCCCCTCTTAGTCTTCTCTATTTCAGTGAGGAGGAGGGTTTAGGAAAAATAACTTAGCCAGGTGCTCTTCATATTTATTTATATTGTTTCACATCCACGCGCTCTATCTCAGTAACATCCTTCCTTTAATGGGTAACACAAAACTGAACAGAGTGCCCCAGCCTCTAAACACTGAGTTATTTTCTCACTGTGAGCTACCTTGAGGAGCTAGTCAACTCCTGATATGTTTCAATTAGCTGTTGTAAGCAACAGTCTTCATCTGGAACAGGGTTAGGTCAATTGAGTAGTATTCAGACTAGACTGGACTAATTTTACCTTTTGGAAGTTGCTTGTTGTAAAGAGTGAGATCATAGTGCTTCGTTTCATAGATGACATGTACTATACTGAGCTGTGCAATGTTCGTTTTTTTTCTAATTGTGTTGCGGAATTTTTGAATTTCACCTCCCCGTGTAGGTATTCGCTAGGCTCTGTTGGTAGATTTTTGCCTCTGGGCCGAAAAAGGAATGGGTTCAAATCCCATGCTGGGACTTGAGCTCATAGTCTAGGCTGATGACACTTATTTAAAACACGCGAGTTTCTCCCATTATCCTGATATACAACCCTCTAGATTAATTGATCATTCGCCTAATAGCTCCCTGTGAACCTCACTGAAGAAAATGGCTAGCATTTCCAAATAAAAAACAGTCACTGACATTTGACAGCAATTACTTGTGAAGCTTTTAAGATAATTGAGAAATTTCAATGTGATACAGTGCTTCAAAAAAAGTTTTTCTTTCGTACCAACTCTATTATGGAGGGTGTCATAATCATTTGATTTGATTTGGATCTTAATCTTACTGAAATTGTTTCCTGGGAGACATCCGGAACCATAGACTTTTGTTTCTGAGGAAGAAATCATTCCTTCGACTTCCAACAACAAATGCATGTAGAGAAGAGGCTGCTTTACTTTGTATGTTTCTGACTTGTTTGTGTCTTGTGTACGTGGGTTATCTTCTTTCAGCAACTGCTAATCAGTTTGTTTTTTTAATTAGGCCAAGATGCCTTTTGATGCCAACAAACTTTACTGCAGTGAAATTCTTGCAATTCTGCTTCAAAATAATGATGGTAGGTTTACATTCTGTGAATTAACTTCTGGGGGAAAAGTACCGTCGAACTAGTATAATAGCCAGATGGTAAATGTTTTCCTTCCTCTCCCCAAGCCACGATAGTTTTGTCCATCTGCTGGCTTAATCTGTACATCTGCTCATCCATTCATCATCCTGCTGTCCCTATGTCACAAATGGTAACTTGTCACCTTACAACAGTTCACAAGTTATTGTATCATCTGGCTTTGGGCTGCTTTCAAAACTGTTCGTGGTCAGAATCCTGATTTGACCATTAACATGTTGTTGTGCATTACATCTCACTGAGAACTAACCGTAATTGATCTGAATTATACAAAAGTGTCTAAATTAACTATGTAACTAAATTTCTTCTACATTTACTGTATTTTCTGTTTTCAATTTTTTCAATTTTATTTTAGATGGTGTCTCATCCATCTTGCTACATTCACTTCTTATAACCCAATAGTCTTTGTCTTCCACACTCACTTTTCTTCAGTAATATCTGTACCAAATATATTGGGTTGTTTGCAGTAGCTGACGTCCATTATAATCGCCTTGCATGCCTTACCTCAGAGGAAGGCATGTGGGCTTGTACCTTAGACTTGACTTATGCATCACAGTAAAGCTCAATTTCCTGCAATACCACAAGAAGTTTGGAAGGAACTCAAAGGGGCAGGAAAAAAGAAGTGTATCCAAAATCTGCTGGTTTCTCTGAGTTTAGTTCATTACACATAACAAATCGTATATAATCTAACAAAAAATAGCAACCGTACTCACAAGGGTGTGATGAAGATTCTCAATAAGGATGCTGGAGCTTGGTTTGTAGGCAAGCAGAGGAGCCTTAGACTTGACTTGGATGTGTTGCATCCTTCTACTGCAAGAAAAATTCTTTCATTCCCCAACATTAACATCCTTTCCCTTTAAAACATGACTCTTTCTGCTCTACATATTTTGGGCAAGGTTAAAATTTTATATTACTTTGGAATTAATCTCATTTTGATGTTTTTCTCAACTAATGAACTCTGCACTTTATTACCTTAAGACTTGTAAATGAATTGCACAAAAGATTGAGAATAACCAATAGTTTAAAGTTTAGCTACTTGCACTACAGTTAATCTTTGGGTGAGGAAATTCCTCTTGCTCGAAGAGAATCCATTAGAAGTTCACATCTTCAAAATGCATTCAAGCAGGAATGCAATGTCAAGCATTCCTCGATAAAAATACTAGATAAATCTCTTATCCTGGTGGAGGGTTTACATCCCACTAATTATTGGCAAATTCATAGCCTGTCTTTCCAGTTTCTTTGTATATCTTTTGTAGTATGTCACGCAGTATTGATTCCAGGTGATGTATCCATGTTTGATGCTGTAAGATCTGACAGCGGCTCCACTTCTTTCAGCCAACAGAGAATTACTTGGCGAGCAGGAAGGGATCGACGTGTTGCTGCAGCAGCTGTCAGTGAGTATCTGTGGTTGCCTCCAGTGCCTGACCAGGCCTGCATCTTAACTCATTGTGATGCTTCACAAGATTTCCGTAAATCGCTGTATAGTTGAGGGTGGGGCGGAAACTCGTGTACAATGTGGAGCAACATGTACCATTATTCAGCATTTTAAATTATAATTTTAACCAATATGGCAGTTCTGTATTTCGAAATGAGCAAAATAGAAATTGTGTTCCGACAGTTTAAATGCGTAAGTAACAATTCTGTGTGTTGAATACAAACATCACGATGAATGTGTTAACCACAGGATTCACAGTGATTTACTGAAAGATTCATTTGGAAAAACCACATAGGTTTTTTTTTGGGGGGGATGTTCTGAATTATGAAGTTTTGATGCTTCAATCACTGTTCATTCCAACAAAGGGAGCAATTCCTGATCACAAATCTGATCTGGACCTGTTCAAACCTTCAGACCTGAAAACTGATGGCAGCATTTTACTGAATCTTAGATTGTTATAGATCTAGTACAAACATTGTTGGGTTATTAAATTGTGAATGACTGCAACCGAGTGCCACTAAAATGGCAAAGGAATGAAACCCCAAACACTTTACCTCCCGAAGCTAGACAGGAAGTTTAAAATCTGGCATTTACTGTTCAATCCAAAAGGTTACTTTGACCTAAGGGGTTGGTGTATATTGCTGCGCTCTTAAGTATTTTGAAATCTTGTTGTTTCAAAAAGTAAGACAATGTTGAATGAGAAAAGGCCTTTCGATCCATTTAGCCTGCTCATTTCACATACCAGTCAAAACCTATTTGGATTTCATCCCATTACTTCAGTCTCTTGGGGAAAGTTCTGCTTGGATACTGAGATCCACACAGGTTAAGTAAGAATTGCAGAATGTTTCCATCTCCACTGTAACAAAGCTATATTATGTATCTCTCCAGGCAACATTTCCTCCTCTGCATGAGTAGCTGAAAGTTTTAATTAGAAATATAGTTTACATTTATATAGTCTTTCATGCCAGGAGGATGTGCCAAAGTGCTTGACAGAACTGAATGGGCACCTGAGCTGGTGGTGGTAAGAGGAAAGGTGACTGAAAATGCAGTCAAAGAGAAGTACATGTTGAGATGTGCGTTGAACAAAGCGAGAGAAGGAAGGAGTTGTAATGTGAATAAAAATATTAAAGTTTCTGTGAAATCAATCAATGCACGTTTAGTTAGTCTGAAAATGTCTGTATTTGTTAAGATTGTTTATGTGGAGCAAACAGTGCTCTGTTCCAGCCATTGATTTTTGAATACTGAATCATCATTCAGTTCCAGAATATGTACCTCATTTATTCAAGCTCCACATTTTGATAGGGTATTACTGTTATAATCTTGGACAAGAGAATCTCCTTGAGATTCTGCCCCTTTGGAATGATTGCATTACTTACTGCAATTTTGAATAGCTGCTCCTTACCACTACTGTATAAAGGAGTTATTTGGAATCGCATGATGTTTTTTATTTCCTGTTTCTTGTTGCTGTCCACACCATTTCAAAAAGGTTTCAGTTTCTACATTGCCAGGCACTCAGTGAAATTTGGTGCTAAAGGGTTCTAGCAATAGATCTGTAATAGTCTTTTTGAAGACTCGCAGATGGCACTGATTTGGCAGGTAGATTATTTAAATAGTAGGGGTGTCCAGAAAATCACGATAACATTCCACAACAAACAATTGCTGAGATAATGCAGTCAGGACTACGGTACAGTGATTCTCAACAGATTGTACATCTCTTATAATATAGTATTTTGTATTTACAGCAGGAATCCGGTTGGAGAAAACTGTTATTCCTCCTCGCTTTAACCTTGTTGAACAAGTTAAAAGTATAAAACATGAGAATTTGCCAATGAAAAGAAAATTATTTGTGCTTTCAAGCCAATGGAGCACAGGAGAGCCATAGTACTTGGCATCCTGTGCTGTCAAATCGAAACATTAGTGCTGGTAACTGTCTTATAGAAAGCTCCACGTTTGCCTGGAAAGTGGGCATAATTTGACTTTCTCTTCTGTGTCCTACAAAAACAAGAAATAATGCAACGAGATGCATTTCACTGTCCAATTTGCTGACCTTGGTTTATTGATGGGTTTACCCAAAGCTTTGAAAATTGACAGTAGCCTAGATTGATGTAATGTCTGTGTTTACATCCAGTGCTGAAATTCTTTGTACATGAAGCAAGCGATGCTGCCTTTCAGAGTTAGAAATATTAGGTAGCAGCTTTGACTTATTTTCTAAGAAAGGTGACTTTCTATACAGTTTAGCAAAACTACAGGTGTGTTTTCAAGAACTCCCCTATCTGCATGCCAAATTAGATACAGTTAATTGTCTCAGTGCTCATGGGCAGACCTCTTTCAGCCAACCTGATCGGGTTTTGGCATTGTTAGTTTTCTGGATGCAAGGCATCTCATTACCTCACTATCATTGCCTGCAGTATGTTCAACTTTGATAGACAAAAAGAATATTGTGTTTATGTTTTGTGGTTTAGTGAAGATTCAGAGAAAATGTATTCAAACCATTGTTAAAACCAAACACTGTTCTTCTGCCACCAAAACACTTCCCAAGTATTTGAGATGGCCAATATACTCGAAAAATATAACTGTTTAAACTGATTTATGGATTGCATATTCCGTTTGAGTGTTGTCCACTTCCATGTTGAATAGATGGGTTGCTGATGAAGGAAGAAAAGCCAAAATATGTTGCTGAGACTATAGAAAGTGTGCCCAGTAATATGAGTCCTTGAAATGAAGTGGGTCGATGGCAGAGAATCATGATTAGATTTGAACCCTATTTGGAAAAAATGGTCAATACATAACCAGATGTCACTTTGCTTTTCACACCTGGAAATTGGCCTTGTTTGCCTGCCTTGTGCAGCCTCCACCTTCAGACCCGCAGGCAAATAGTAGCAGCTGAATCCAGTTGCTGGCTTAATATCTCCTGTAGTAATGACTCAAAACAGTTTGTTCTCTGGTCAAGTGTGTTTATTTTTCCAGTAAAACCGCTTTCAACTGGTGTAGAATTTCTTGTAGAAGTAGACTAAAGTTTCAGTAAGAGATTGTACTTTGTGTTCTCAGGAGTTATAGTGCTATAGCTCTTATCTGAATTATTTATCTGCTGGCAGCTAAATGTTTTAGGATAATTGACGGGTGGGGCTTCTGCCACTCTGCCCCCACCCTTTGGAACGCCATCCCGCAGTCCTTCCGCCTCACCTCCTTCCCTGCCTCTTTCAAGACCCATCTCAAGACCCTCCATGCTTTTGATCACCCTGCTTCCCCTCCCTACCCTGCACCCTCCCCATCCCGACCAAGCTCGGGTCCGAAACTCTGACTGTCCAGCGCCTTAGGACTTCCTCCCGACATTGATATAGTGAAAGGCACTTTACAAATGTAATTTTGTTGTTGTCATTTAAATAAAATAGTGTTTCAAAGCAGTTAACTGTAGGAGTAATGTCATTGAACTGATTTCAAAGTCACCATAGTTGATGAAATAAGCTTGTTTGGAAAGTATTGAAATAGGTAAAGAAGTGGCAAGGCAAAGTGATTTTGAAAGATTAGACTAGGGACAGAAAATGGTCTGATGGCTGATTCATTGTTTTATGCGTAATAATGTGAGTGAGAAATGATAATGCCTAAACCTCATCTGCAACAACTACATTTTATCCACTTTGGGTATTTTTCCCTTATTTAATAATCTTGTTTGCTTGAAATACAGAGCTTCACTGCACTTTTCCCATCAGTGCTTTTTGGCAAGGAATTCTATATTTTGGCCTTGGATGTGCAATTCATTGAATGTGAAGTAGTAATAGGTTCTTAGTTGATTAATTGTAGACAGATGCTCTTTCGCATTAAGAATGTTGACGATAATTTGCTTATATACAAATTGCATTCAGTAATTGGACCTTGTGTATATTAACACTTCAGGATGAGGGATCTCTTCCCATTTTGGGAAGCAGCCTAGGAATTGTTCTTGTTAATTAAAGGGGCCAATTCAGTGACAGACCTGAAATAGTGTGATGCTGATATTGCTTAAATTGGAGCAGCACCATCCGGTTTCATTGCAAAGCTCATTGAGCGCTTTGAGGCCGCCAAAATATTTATTCTCTGGATGGGTCAGATTCTATAAAATCCAGTGTAAAACATGTTTTATATCCTCTTAAAAATAACGGTTTGTTTTTTACTGATTTGCAACAATAAAATCAAGAATAGCCTGGCACATGGGGGTTTGCAATGCTTAGTGAACAGCCAGCTGTTTGTTGATTGTGCAGTTGGATATCGTACAATGACCAGAGGTTATTTAAAAACCTGGCCAGAGCACATTGCTTTCTTATTCAGATATTTTTCATTGTAAAATAATCTTTGTAATTGATATCTCACTTCACTGAAGCGTCTTGAAGCACTTCACTGGGTTATTTGCTGTGAAGAGTAGTGGCTGTGTATTTGCAGGCGAGCTATAGTGACTACTGCTACTGGTGAACCACTAGAATTTATCAGGTAAACCTGAAGCACAGATGTCCATCATGAATCAAGTAGTTATTGCGGATGAAGTAGGGTGATTGTTTCTGACTGTTGGCAACAGTTTCTTTTTTAAAAAATTATCCAGTGTATAAAAGCATCTTTTAAATTCAATTTTTCAGATAACTTCCATCTTATCATTTAGTATTCTCCATGAAGATTCACTAGATTGGACCCATAGAGAAGAAGTTCATATGTTTTGATTTAAAAATGTAATTTAATCTCTAAGTTATTAAATTCTCAAGCTTCATTTGTGTTGTTTTTGCCAGTATCAGGACACTTGATAGAATTTTACATTTTAATTTCTCCAAGGTACTAATTATTCTCTTTAATTCTTAGGCCGTTCCTACTTTTAGAAAATTATAAACTTGTTCAGAAGTGGGGTATATTGGTGTAATTGGAGGGAAAATGAACATTCTTTCAGCCTCCACATGCAAACAGAAAAGCAACCATTCACTGGGGAAATCGCCTATTAAAATATTCCCATCCCCCAAAACACAGCTGTTATCACCACTATCCTAAAAAAAAATGGACGCATCCCTGCTAACTAACTACTGCCCCATCTCCGTTATCCCTTTCCTTTCCAAGGTCCTTGAAAGAGATGTTGCTTCACGCCTTCCTCTCCTGCCACTCCCTTTACGCACCCCTCCAATTGCGTTTCCGTGCTGCCCGCAGCCCTGGTCAAGGTGACAAATGACCAGGGCTCACTCTGTCTCCTCATCCTCCTCGAACTCTGCTGCCGTTGACATTGACTCTATCCTCACCCACTGCCTCTCTTCTCACCCTAACCTTCAAGGTTCTTTCCTTGAATGGTTCAGATTCTATCTTTCACACCGGCTCCACAAATGGCTTCTCCTCCAGCCCCCGCATCGTCTTGTGCAGTTTTCCTCAGGGCTCTGTCCGAGTTCCTCTCCTCTTCAGCTCCCTCAGGTGACATCATCCGCAGACGTGGGGTCAACTTCCACATGTACATGGATCTCTTATCTCTCTGGCTCCACCCTCGATCCCAAGACCACTGATGTCCTGACAGACATCAATTCCTGGATGAGAGCCAACTTTCTACAGTTGAATGTTGGTCAGTAAGACCGAAGTTCCCCTGATTGGCTAGTGCCAGTGCCTCCGCACCTCAGGCACTGGCAGCATCAGCATCTAAGGATGTACACTCCAGCTCACCAAGCCAGTCAGGAACCTAGGCGTCTTGTTCAACACTCAACTGTCCTTTCTCCCCCACCTATGTGCCATGACCCACTCTGCCTTCTCCCACCTTCGGAACATTGCCCGACTTTTGCCATTGCCTCACCCCTCAGGACGCCGAAACCCTCATACATGCCTTCATTACAACCAGGCTCGACTATGCCAACGCCCTGCTTGTCGGCCTTGCCAAATCTTCCCTCCACAAGCTGCAGATCATCCAGAATTCTGAAGCTCATGTCCTCTCCTGCACGAGGCTCCGTGACCCCCATCACACCCACCCTCGTCCGGCTCCACTGGCTCCCCATCCCTCAGGACCGAGTTTAAAAATTCTCGTTCTCAACTTCAAGGTCCTCCGTAGCCTTGCCCCCTCCTTCCTCTCTGAGCTGCTAACTTATCAACCTGTCCGCTTCCTCCGCTCAGCGGCCTGCTCCGTGTTACCCGCGTGGCCCACCCCACCATCGGCCTTCAGCCTCTGCCCCCACCCTCTGGAACTCCATCCCTCGTTCACCTCATTCCCTCCCTTTCCTCTTTCAAGGCATGCCTCAAGACCCTCCTCTTTGTGTTGTTTGTTGCATAGCCAAACATGAGCAAAACCTCATGCAAATGTTTGAACTCGCCCATGAAAATAATAACGGGTTGAATATTGTAGCAATGAATAATTACGAGACATTTGTCTTTGGTTAGCAAAATTCAGATTTCTTAAATTATTCTGAGTAACATAATTTAACAGCAGTTCTGTATGAGCAACTACACAGAAAATCAAGGCTGTGTTTTATACTTAAGATGTTATAAAACTATACGGAAATATTGTTGTGTTTGGAGTATACATTTACTATCCCGGATGCTTGCCCCTCTCCAACAAGAGAGGGACGTCTCAGTGCTCCACAGTGCTGCAGGATCTTAAAAAGACAGCAGTGAATGAAAAGATAAAAGTATTGCCCCAAATACAATTACATTGACATACAGCATTTGCTTCCCTACAACATGACAACAGCTTGTTCTAACCCAGCAAAGGTAAATTGGCTACAGTATACAGCAAATAAGAATGTCGCTGCGCTAGTTGGAAGTGTAAATGGTCTGCTTAGTGCAATTTGAAGTCTTGGTGGCAAGGTAACTTTAATGAACTTTATGTTCTGTACCTACTTTAATGAGAGGGTAAGACATTTATTGGACCAAGTGAAAAACACAAGCAGTGGATCATTTGTCAGCATTTCATGATGTGAACTGAATGCTTCTCCGGGTGATAGTGATTTTATTTACCAAAGCCTATGCCATACCATCATTTTATCCACCAGTTCTCTCTTCACATTTCTTAGTGTAATAACCCTGAAATTTTAGTTATAAGGCATCAGACTTCCCATGCTATAAATGTAATAAATAATACAATGACATGGATAATTTATTCCAGTTAAGAAACCAATGTGAAAATTCTGGAAAAAAATTGATCTTTTATTTACCAATTTCTAGCATTGGACATTAGAACTTCAGTTTTCCCCCTTAAATGCAGGTGAATTATTGAATCAAGCAATACAGAACTTCACGTATTGTATCAGGAAATCAAGTATATTACAGATAGTCTGATTAAGAGACTCAAGGTGATGGTCCAATCCTTCAATCCCGTGACAACCCATACTCCATTCCAGGGACAGCACTTATGACATTTTGTTATTGACTTGCATCTTCTTTACTTGAATTTCATCTAAAGATTGCTATAAAATTGTCATATGGTACAAAAGATAGCAGTACACACAGGGAAGAAATCCATTTGCCTCTCAGGTTTGTGTAGGTTAAAAACTTCATTTCACCGGATGTTTTTATCTGATGTTCATTTTCATTTGTTGATCCCTTGAATTGTGAACATAAATGTCTAACCTTTTGTTACATATATTTTGTGGCATACTTGCTGCATCCAAACCTCAGGCCTCCCAACGCTTTACCTCTTAAAGAAATTTAAAATTTGCAGGTGCTCTGATTTAATATTGATCCAATGATAGCTTTAAATTTTGTTATAATGGCTGAAAACATTAAACAAATTCCTTTGATGGTTTTAGGTATTCAAACGTCATAATCCAAGTACTAATGAAGAATTTGAGATGATGGAAAACCTCTTTGACAGTCTCTGTTCATGTCTGATGCTGAGCTCAAATAGGGACCGATTTCTAAAGGGGGAAGGACTGCAGCTCATGAACCTAATGCTCAGGTAAGCACACAGTTCCATAAATCTACCCAAATTATGCTTGGACTAAGCAGAGTTGTTTAGATGTCACCATCTTACACCTATTGAGGTTTCAGTTCAAGGTCAAGTGATCACGGTTACTGAGTACCAGTCAATCTCAAGGCCGTATAAGTACCAAACTTACCAAATATAGTGCCAGCGATAATGGCTCAGTGAGAAGCAGAGACATACAGATTGGTAAACATCTGGATTTGTTTGAACCTGGATTTGAAAACAACCGAAATTCCTGCTCCTGTTTGCTCCCAGAACCTCAGCTGGATGGTGCATATGTGTGGTCTATGGATGAAGCTAGAACCTGACCCCATCAGAATGGACTGTAGCAGCATCATTGACACTTGGACTACTTACTGGAGGTTCTCGACTGCTCATAAAACTTGTAAATAAACACTTTCAGGAGGGAAAGGAAAGGTAACGGTATCTGAACCGTGAATCAAACAAAATAGTGACTATATGATCTGACAAGTTCCATTATCTGTTGCTATTGTTAGGATAAAGAGCAATAAATATACATTTGGGCGTTTTAAATTATTGTCATGATTGAAAGCCGTTTAAATTGGGGTTTGAGACCTGGGTGTTGTGAAAACGAGGCATTTGAAATTGTTCTTTTTAAGACTAACTGTTCATCTCGGTCCATGTCTTTGGCTCACTGAAGTTGAAAGCTTCTTCATTTCTCTGGGAGAGTGGTTACAGACAGTTTAATCAGCTTGCTGAAATTTGAGAATTGACTTGAGGTCCGAAGAATAAATATTTCAAACATCAGCTGGGGACAGTCTAATCAACTCATTATTGATTTCCGAAAGGGTAAACACTAATAGAATGAATATATCTGCTATCAGTAAGGAATGGTCTCTGAGACCCAGAATCGATTGACCAGCCAACTTGTAGGTAATAAAGTAAATATTTCTCAAATTTGTCAACAGTATAGAAGGTAATTTTCTACCTTTCATTGATTTCTAAATATAATCTTTCTTTTATTTATTACGTTTATCTAGGATTAGAACAAATGTTGGGTTGACACTGTAAAACTTGGGTTTTAATCATTTATGCAATCCAAAATGCAAATGCTCTGGCATTTATTTAAGTATATGGGAGACAATTGAGTGCAGAATATTTCTGACACTGAACCTTTTTTGGTTGGCATATATTACCTGTTGCAGTTTCCTGCATTAAGATTGTAGAAATTGTGTTCATTGCAGCTATTTTCATGGCTTTTTTAATGAAGATTGCTATTAATGACAAGCAACTAAAATGACGGCAAGAGTCATTTCTATGGTGCCATTAACGCTGTTCAGTAATAAAAACATGCATGCAAACACAGTAAAACTGCAGATACTGTAGAAGAGATGTTATTATAATGTGAATAAACTTTGCTATTCATGTGCACTTTTATCACATCAAAATGTCTCAAATCGCTTCGCAATATTTTCTGTCGTATTGAGTGACTATTCATTTAGAGTTTTTTTAAACTGGGGTATTATGTATTGTTGACCAGACACTAGAAGAAACTCCTTTTTACTTTTCAAATACAGTAATCCAATCCTTAATATCCACCTGATTAGGCATCGCAAAAGGATAATTTAGGACCATTTTAAGGAAGGCTAAAGTTTGATAAAAATCTAGAAATGCAAAGATTTGGCAAGCTTATTGGATTTAATCATATAAGGAGCCCTTTATTTTTCTGACAATCTTTCGTACACTTTTTTAAAAAAACATAGTTTGTGCCCTGATATTTGTGGCTGTAAAGGCATTGCTCATTGAACCGCATTGTTGTTCAGAAATGACTGCCTGGTGCATTGGGAGAGCAGGTAGGTTACATGGGTCAACTGGGTACGACAAGCATGTGCATTTTTTGCAAGACATTCTTTCAGAAAGGACCATTCTTTGAGTGTATTAAAGAAAAATGTTGAATTCATTGCAGAACTGCTGTGAACAAGACTGCTGGAAAAACGGAATCAGCCACTGTTGCGTTATCATGAGTTGCCGTTATGCTGGGCACGTGGGAGTACTGCAGTACTGCAATGAAATTTTGAGCCAATTTGATTTTTCTCCCTCAGGAATCAAACCTAATAAAGATTTTTTTTTTAACAAGTTACTATCTGTACCTGAAGAATTCCTTGAAAGAAACTATATTGAACTTTTACATTAAACCTGATCTTTGGTAGTTTATAACTTGTACACAACAAAAGCTATTTGAAAAGATTGCTTAATTTGTATAACGCCTGGATGCTGTGGACACTTTTCTGGAATGTGCTAAATTTCCGGTCAGATAGAGAGAGATTCATTGGGTAAGTTGGCTGCTTTCCCTCAGGGATGGGGAAAGGTGTATTCAGTGCTTTTGGAAGGTTGATCAGGATTTTGGAAAGTTAAAAAGATAATTAAAAAACTTGTTATATTTCATTTGTTTTGTTGTGAGCTTGATGAGAAGATCTTGAGTCCCATGCTGGTGTTGAGAACTAATAAATTTGCTAGTGCAGCATTGTAAGATTTTTAATTAAATTAGTTCAGCAATTCTCCTGTCTCATATTTCCAAATATTTTGTAGAAGTTTTGTAACTGCAGAGGCATATCTGCGCCAATATGAATAAGAAGTTATGGACCTAGAGTTCAGTTTCAGAAACTTAATTAGTAAGCAACGAACCTTTTTTGTTATTCATATTGTCTCTGATTTGTGAAAAATGGGATTAAAATATTATAACGAGGACTATAAATCTTTCTGCTTATTCATCTATTCAATTTGAAATGATTTTAATTACTAAAGTATAATTTGTCTTCTAGAGAAAAGAAAATGTCTCGAGCCAGTGCCTTGAAGGTTTTGGACCATGCCGTGATTGGTCCCGAAGGATCTGATAATTGCCACAAGTTTGTGGATATCCTCGGACTGCGGACAATATTCCCTCTCTTCATGAAAACACCGAAGAAAATGAAGAAAGCTGGTATGACAGAAAAAGAACATGAAGGTAAGCTGCGAGATCCTTAGATACATGATAAGTAAAGGAAGAGAAATGTACATTTAAGTCCACTCCTGGAATAAATCTTCCTCATTCACCTCCAAATGAACCTTCTAAGCAAGCTTCTCTTGTGGCACCAGCCACTCAAAGGATCCAGTCTGCTAACATCTCAAAAGCTCTAGTGCTATTCCTGCACAAAAATGAAACCAGATCAGAATGTAAGTCTTTGAGGTTAGTCATTGCTACCGTTTTTTTTTCCTGTACAAGCATATACTAAGATTACATTTTGTTTAAAATTCCTCCTTTACTCTTTATTTTCGCTCCTGCAAAAATCTCTGAATTGAATCCTGGGAATCTTCATGAATAACAGTCAAAACTGTGGGCACCGAAACTTTTTGCTTTTAAGTTAACAAGTTTTCTTTTCTTCAGGTCTCTGGTTTTGAAATTCAGGACGTGTGCACCAGTGTCCTGTTGTGCATCTGCCCATTAAAATACGAGCCAGAATCGTTACAGTATAATGTTCTGGTGTGATTTCCTCAGGCCCCATACCGCTGCTACTGCTGTCACAGAGCAGCAGATAAATCTGTATTCGTAAGGAGTTGGCTTGAAAAGTTGAGACAAATCTAATTAGAGTTTGTTAAACAAGGCTGAAAATTGATCAAAGCCTGCCCACCGGATAGGATAAAGAAATGGATGTTTTCAGACCATCCTCTTCTGCTTTTAGAGAGCACGCGTGGCTTTAATCAGAAAGGTTCAGAAGTGGAATGCTCAAGAAGTCCCATTACTGATTGATTATAAGCTTTGAAAGTTCATTTTATTAGTTGCTGCTATGAATCTTCAGCCACCTTGTGATTTTGTAACTGCGCAATTTTGTCTATATGGCTGTTCATTTTTCAACCCTTGAGACATTTGGCACAGGATTTGTTGATATTACCAGACTAGTTTTGGTGTAGCCCTTAAATAGGATCCAGCCTAACGAAGGATTATGGCTAAAATTAATGTCTTTTGACCTGCTGAGCTATTGGAAACATTTGGGGTGGGGGGGGGAGGTATTTTAGATTTTCAATGTTTTGTTGCTATAGTTTCTTTTATTGCCAGTTATGTGCAGTTCATGTTCAGCATTGCGTGGGTGAACACGTTTTCTTTTTTGGGTTTTGAGGATTTTCAACCCCCAGTGAATCAAGTTCAAAATCATCATTCACACCTTCAAATCCCTCGACAGTCTCACTCCCACTCTATCTCCACGACCTCCTTCAACCCTAGTAACCTGATAGCTCCCTACACCCAGTTTTGTGCCCCCCGCCCTATCCAGCCCACCATGGGGGCGCTATCCTTTGCACCCACCTTTGGCTTCAACCCCCAGCTCAGGTTCCCAGCCAGCAGTATTGAAGTGAAAAGCTCCCGAAGTGAAAAGCACTATATAAATTGTATTGTAAAATTGTATTGTCATGGTCAATTGTCCTAAACTGAGTGCCATCTTGACTTAAAAAACATTTCAGAACGCAGAGTGAAACTCACATCTCCTCAACCAGGTTAAGAAAAATCTAACACTAAACCCATTTTAAGTGATGTTTTACTGTACCATTGCACTGTAAGAAGGGGAGACTTTTAAAATTGGGTTAATACTATTATGATCTAATGTATCTAGCAGCCAGGCTATGGCACGGGGTGGCTGGCTCTCCAGCCAGATAAAATCACATGCATCTGGTTGGCTTTTCATGTTTTTAAGTGTTTGCCCCTGGGAAAACCTTCTTGAAGTTTTCAATACAAAGTCATGAAATCTGATGCATTTCCAGAGGCTGGTAAATTTTTAAATCCATTAATCCTTTTACTTTGCTTAATAAAATATTTTACATTGGGGTTATTCCGTCTTCAAAACATTCTGCAAAAGATAGTCTTTTAGAAATGCTGCAGCACTCTGCACTTTGTGTTGTTATGCCAAATCTGCATTGAAATAGCACTGTAATGCAGTCAGAGTTGACTTACATTGGCTAATGTTATTTTTTTCTCCCCTCCATTCTCCGTGGGTTGTGAAATGATGATAATCTTTACATTTTGTATAGCTCCATCTACATAGAGAGGATGTCCCAACCTGCTTTGCAGGATATACTGTACAGTATACTGACTGTGTTTTGTGGGCGAATATGGCAACCAATTTGTGTACAGCAATGCCCCACAAACATCCTTGAAGTGAATGAGCAAGTTCAATTGGGGGAATATTGGCCAGGACACTGAGATAAACTATCCGCTCTTTTTTGAATAGTGCCTTTAACACCCACCTGAGCAGGTAGACAGGGCCACAATGAACATCTCATATGAAGGCTGACACTTCGCACCAATGCGACACACCCACGTCCCAAGCACTACATTGGAGGTCCTGATGTGTGTGCGGCTTGAACCCACAGCCTCCTGACTCAGAGGCGAGAATGCTCCCACTGAGCCAGGTTGACACATACACAATTAGGTGCATAATTATGGGCATCTGTAATTTCTTCTGCCTTTTAAACAACTCATATAATACACATGGTTTACAAAAGTCATTGCATTCCAGGCAAAAGGAAAATTGCATATGTAGGTGACAAATATGTGGAGTTCTGAGGTTGGTTTGGATACTCTTTAAGCAAGGCGACAGGTTTCCATCTGTGTCAGAAATCCAGCTACCAAAACACAAAATCACTATCATTGTTCTGAAAATACAGAGAAATAAGTTGATATCTTTATGGAGTGTGTTAAGCTATAAAACCTGGCAAAATGTTTATCTTTAATGTAATGAACTTCCTTTATGAAATAACAGTTTGGAAGAAGAGTCTCTCTCCTCTCTCTCCCCCTCTTTCTCCCTCTCTCTCTTGCACATTCCCGTTCACCAGGATGCACAATCAAGTGTTGAAAGCTGAGAGAAATATAGAATTTTTGACTGGAGTTTTTTGTTAGTAAAGTTGCTTGGCATGTGATTGAAATTTCAGGACAACAAATTATTGGATATTTGAAAACTGCAGTCAACATAACAAGAACATTGTTATTCTAAAATGTTATTTGGGAGGCAGCTCAGAGTAATGATGGAGGGATTGAAGAGAAGGGAGAAAAACCCTAATTGATACTGAAGCAAGTGGTGCATGAAAATGTTCCTTGGGCAAACTAATGCACCAGTTTCTGTAATTATTTTCAACTTGGGCTTTTTGATCTCCTTAGTTTCCACATGAATTTCAGAGAAACTCGTGGCTTAAAAAAAACTGTTAGAAAAGCACATGCCGCTTCTCGGGCTGCATTTGCATGTAGGACTCATAAAGTGAAACAGCCCTCATAGAAATTCATATAATTTACATTTATATGAAATAAAACAGCATGGAAAATTTCACTGTCAGCTTTTTGTGCGTCTGTGCTTTGATGAATATTGACGGGCACCAGCATTTATTAAGCTTTTAGGAGATGAAAAGATACTCGGTTGATGGACAGAGTTGCTGCATAGAGTTGGGGTCTCACAGAGCCAGACATTTTAGCTTTCAGATTTAATTTCTGTGGCTCAGTAGAATGAGGTTCTGTTTACTATATATATGGCAGAAGATCAGATTTTGCAGCTGGTAGAAAGTGATATCACAAGTGGTGTAAGAAAGCCTGGATGATCAGAGACCAAAGTATGCTTATGGAGAAATGGGCCTTTTGAAGCTTTAATTTTAGCTTTGGAGCTCCGAGTTTTGTCATATTTTAAGTTCTCTTCCATGACAAATTAATCTGGAAATAGTTTCTTGGCATAGTAATGATCTGTGGTAAATTAATGGTGTTGTGTAGTACATATCCTGGAAATCCTGGTCCATGACTTGTCTCTTGGCATAGTAATGATCTGTACAAAATGGATGGTGTGTATGGTGCAGACGATGCATATCCAGGAATCCTAATCAATTACTCCTCTGCTGGTCAATGTATTCAACTATTTCTTTTGTTTTTATCCTATGGATTTCTGCCCTTTTCTATTAATAGCCGAGTCACTATTTGAAGAGGAAATTCAGGTGATGATGATGGGATGTATCCCAGACATTTAAGTTGAGGGAAAAGCACAGTGACGTCAGTTAACTTACTAACTGACTGCAAGTTAACTTGGTAACTGCAAGTTACTCATAACCCACTCTGACCTTCTGAAATAAATATGTGATTAAATATATGGAACTGAATACAGTTATTAAAGAGTAACTCGGTATATTTTTCATTTTACAGCTTTCAAATTGTGGAAGTTTTATTTTCAATTATCTATAACTTAACATCAACAACTTGCATAACCCTAACCATAATATAGCGCCCTTCAATATTAATTTCACTGTTTAGCACAAGAAATGCAGGAGTTTCATATTGAAATCCAGAAAGCAGTGACTCTTGATCCATGCATTGTTATAACCACAAACAGAAGCTTATCTGCTAGTTTATTTCAAGTCTGAATTTATTTCTTCCAATGTAACGAACCTAGTCTAAGAAGCAATGATGAACCATTGATAAACTTTATGAAAACTTGCTATTTGAAGAAGGTTCAGGCTTTCGTTCTTGACCCCCATGCAAGGCATGTTCAAGCTCATCAGTATCAATGTGTGTAAAGGTTGACACTGATTTGATAATATCTAAATAGAATATTTTGCTGTCTGTTTTCATTGGCATTTAAAAGTGAAAGTTAATGCATTTTGAGCTGTATTTACAAAGCATTTAAGTTCATTCCGGCTGGTAAAGGATACAAAATTTCTACTAAAACACAATATTTGAGGAAGGTGGAAGGATGATATTGGTTTCAGTCGTACGCTTAAATGATTTGTGTGTTGCATTTTTGTGTTTCTTTCGTTGTCTTCATAACAGAACAAAAGCAGCTTAAAAATAAACATATCTAAAACCCGTTGTCAGATGATTATATTTCCCATTAAATCTTTGCAATTTTAGAGGTCATAACCTCTTCATTGCATTTTTTTTTAGAAGTTAATGGATGTGTCGGCCTATTTTTCGATTTATCTTTTTACAATATTTATTTCACCATTTACATTTGAGTGCAGGATTACGGTCTATATTTCTTTTGTGCTTATGCATTGCCAACACTGTCTGTTGTTGATACATTCTATGTCTAGATTTGAAACCTCCACACATTTTCAAAGCTGCTAACATTCAGTACTTGTTGTGTCTAACAATGATGGGGCTTGCTGGATGCCTGAAGCATCAACTTATTGATGGAATATTTTCTGTATTGGAACATATTAAGAAAATCCTGTTATTATTTATTGCAAAGCTGACTAAATCCATGATAATGACTGTTTACTTTTAGTTTGATCTTTCTCAGTGGGTATAAATGTCATGACATCATATTCTTGCAATAATGTATTCAGAATATATGAGCATCATACATTTTTGAAGGCATTGTTAAATATTTAAAACTAAAACGTAGATAAATTATGATTTTTCCATCTAAATAATTTGGTTCAGAGGCCTCTTGATTTTGTAGTGTCACTGTGGATTCATAAAGTAGCTTGATGCAGTTAAAAAAAAATGAAAGCTGTTGCCAGTTTCACTCGTTAGGAATCTAGTTGGGTAAGGACTTGCTATCCTTCATTTAGTAGGGGAGGGGGTTTGAAGAATTGCTATAATATTGTTGTAATTCACATGGATTAAAGCCACACACAATGCAAGTTTTGGGGAGTTTTAATTTAATCTGGTTCTCCAGAGTTCTATGGTACTGAATTCTTGCACCTGTTTAAACACTTGGAAACAAAGCATGGTGCCCTTAGCTATAAACTCATTCTATTCCTTTTCCCATCAGCAGTAATTAAACAAGGATAATTCATTGCTCGGATGATATTTGGGATTTTTCAGTTCATAAGTGAAATCTTCAGATCATCCATGTTTAGTTTCCTTTCCTGGAGTACTGGCGATTAACATACGAATAATTATGATTTTATTTTCTCCTTGTAGAGCATGTTTGTTCTATTCTGTCATCCATGCTACGGAACTTGAAGGGACAGCAGCGAACACGGCTACTCAACAAATTCACTGAAAACGACTGTGAAAAGGTAAGTTGTCTGTCTGTCTGTCTGTCTTTCCAGACTATGGTTAATTGCTAAGTGGAATTACTGTATCGATTCACAGCTGAAAAAATATGCATTACTGATATTCTGTCCTTTGCTTGGGAAGGGAAAATGTATTAAAATGTGTGGAGGTTTATATATTGCCCGAATAGGATTGCTGTATTGGTTCATCTCCTGATCCGTTGATTATAATTCTGATTATATGTGATCCATCCAAGTGTATCCTGAATAAATTGAATTGCTCCTGTGTACTGTTTGACAGTAGATCAAAGTCTGTACATCATATGGAGAGGAAAAAGCAAGTACCAGCATTTTATAGTCTCCTATCACTTCAAAACAGCTCAAAACATTTCACAATAATTACCGTCAACTGTCATGACTGATTTTGAGGCAAAAAAACAAAATCTATTTACGCAGAAAGGTGAAATGTATTAATGTTTGCAATTGATATAGCGCCTTGTCACTTCAAACAACTCAAAGCACTCAAATTATGGTGTGTGTGTGTTTCTGTAGGCGACCGCAAATGTCCAATTGATTTGGAGGATTGTTAGTCAAACCCGTAGAAACTCTTTCTTCTGTTCGATTAATGTTATTATTCGTACAATTGACAACAACCCGGTTGTTAGTTGATTAGCGGATCATTTTTCTTGGAGTAATAATTCCTTGAAAAAAAACTATTTGTAGGACACTGCTGTGCGCAATTGGCTGCTGCATTTTGCCCACAATGTATACAGTCAATTCACTTTACAGTATGTTCTATGAAGCGCGTTGAGATGTCTCGAAGACATGATAAGGCGTCATCAAATGCAAGGATTATTATTATTAATGTCATGATTTCAGTGGCGTGCACAAGCAAATATAATCATGGTTTAACACCACTTGATAGTGCAGATGTATTGCTGTATTCTGTTTTACTGAATGTCCCAGGCACTTCATTGACTCATTGCTCAATCTAGTTTACATTAATTTGTAATTTTATGATTCTGTAAATCTTTTAATACTTGAAAATGGCCATTGCTTCAATGCTAGTTTTGAGATATATTTTGTGCTCGGAGATGGTAGCTCACCTAGATTTCTGTATCGGATTAAACATGTTTGTACTGTTTGCATATCTACTGCAAAGCACAATAGTGCGCGGAGTGGATCAAAAATAAAATGGATCATAAATAAAAATCCTTGCCTTTTGATGTAATGCCTTATCCCGTTATCGCAATGTCTCAAAGCGTCTGAATGGTTCACTCTAAAATTAGTGGCTTAAATCTAATCTAGATGTCGGGTATGCTGCCTATTGTACATTAATACCACCAAGCGAGCTTGGTTTAGTTCATGGGATATTTTTTCTCAATGACAACGAATCCTCTTTACCCCTCTCCGCCCAGAAACTAAGGCAGCCCCGATCCATCGAATAAAAAGGGATTTCTCATGAATATTTTGAAGGATTGATTTCTCTTGTAAATCACAATATAATGCTCTATTGAAACTGCATTTATTGCTCCGTTTCCTGCAGAGCAACACATCATGCAAGCTTGAAGCATAGCTTGCGCATCACAATATAGCCTTCTTGCTACTGAGAGATGCTTACACTGATGGCTACATAAATTCTAGGCCGTAAAGTCTGGTTCTGTGACACCGTTTGCATTTAGCAACAACATACTATCGGCGGATGGAGCTGCCAGCCTCTGCTTGGTTTGTGGTTGATGGTTGTTTGTGTTTCCCACAGGTCGACCGACTGATGGAGCTGCATTTTAAGTACCTGGAAGCTGTGCAGGTGGCTGACAAAAAGATTGAAGGAGAAAAGCATGTAGGCATCACTTAAAAACCATCAACAGCCTGGGTTTCTGCGTCTCTAATGCTTATATTTAGCAGAGTGGCTTACATACATTCTGCATTGTAGAGGGGTTAGAGATGCAGGTTTTGGGGGGAATTAGGATGTCAAAATAAATTGTATTAAAACTAGCCTACCCACTTGAGTATATTACACCTTACTTTTTTAAAAGTGAAAATGCAGAGCTGTGAGGAGAAGGTCATATCACAGTCGATAATTCAGCACTAAAATGCATTGCTGCCAACTCAGTCCTGCCACTTATCAGATAATAACTGTAAATTGAGCTGTTCAAATAATGTGTGTGCATGCAGTATAGTTATTGATTCCTTGCACAGTGTAAGAAGGGAGCTGTAGCAATGAAAAATCATTGCCTTATTGTCTGAATGCAAAATGCCTTGAAGGAGAAGGAAAGCTTGGGGGAATAGTTCAAGTACCAAGTACTCTCTATGTATATATAGTTTTTAAAATCTTCAATTCAATGACGTACTTTCCCTCCCTGAGAGACTCAGTATTTTGGATCCTCTCCACAGTATAGCTTCATCTAGCATTGTCTACAACAAAAAGACTTCCATTCATTAATATGGTGTGAGTAATTTTAATACTATAATTTTACCAGTATGGGCTGGCTAAATAGGGAAAGATGAGTACAAAACTGGATGAGAACTCAACAAGCATTAGTTTCTTAGCTCGAGTGCCTTTACATTGCTTCTGAAATTCTGTGGAAGACCTGCTTCCACATTGGTGACCATGGTGCTTCAAGTTAAAAGTGCTCTGGCCATTAAACATTGGAGTGACTAAATACACTGGAGGCTTAAGATGATGGGACAAGGATTAACAATTTGACAATTCATCCTACCATCTTACAAATATACTCCTTTTTAAGAAAAATACTTGGTGGCGTAGTTTATACTGAAAGCATTTCTCAGAGAATTTCCTTCAAAGTATTAAGATCTCTTCACCTGCAGGATTGTAACTGTGAATTGGTACTTCTTATTGAATTTACTTGTCTTGTTGGTTGTCTTTTACGGAATGGCAAACTCTTGAAAAGTCAGTGCCTTCGCGAAGAGGTTGCTAATATATTTGAGCACTAATCTTTAAGGTGGCGGGGAAGTGCTCTGATGCCAATGCATTTGTTCTCAAAGTGAGGTTTCCACCTCAAAGTAGCATTTGAGCTCTTGTCATGACTATTAATTTAAGTTGATTTCAATTATAGAAAAGTATGATCCACAGACTAGAATAATGGATGTTAGAGGCTCAGTTGCAAGGTATAATCTCAAGGTGCTCAGGTCTCCTAAAATATCATAATACGTGAAAGGCGCCATACAAATGTAATCTTGTTGTAATAAGCGAATACTATCTGACAATCCCTACAAAAAAAGATTAGATAATAGCAATGAATAGAGCTGAGAAAATTGATGCATCAGAAACCAGACTATGTATTAAAGTTCTTGGGCAAGTTCCAGTATCTTTTTTAAGATCTACTGAGAGGTGCACTCTCCTAGAAGTTAATGCCTAGTTTTGTGATCTCTTCCAATGTGACTTGACCTGGAAACGTGAGACTGTTTAGGGCACAGCCGTCGACAGTGCTGCAATCAACTGCAGTGAATATCGGTCAGTTTTTAAGTACACTTTGGTAGAGAAGAAAACCAACCCTTTCTCTTTACCTTCTTCATGTTTTCATCATTTTGAGGTGGTTGGACTATTTGAGAGCATAGGGGGAAGGACATATTCATGAAGTAAAACTAGCACAAAGTAATTTCTTGTTTTTGTTATTTAATACACTATCAAAAGTTTGTAACCACAAAAATAACCTTTTTTTCAGGACATGGTCCGTCAAGGGGAAATAATTGATGATGACATGGAAGATGAATTTTATCTGAGGCGCTTGGATGCTGGTCTCTTTGTCCTTCAGCTGGTTTGCTACATTATGGTTGAGATTTGCAATGCAAATATCCCTCAGGTAATTAAGAATTGTTTCTATAACGTTAAGGCAGTTCTCTCCCTGGGTAGATTTATGAGGCCAGGATTTTATTAGAGAGTCTAAAAGAAACTTGAGATTATCTGCAAAGAAAATAGATTGCGATGATTCTTTTATATGTGAATTATGTAGGAATTAAGTAGAAATATAGTTTAACAACTTTAACTGAACTTAATAGTCTCTTGTTGGAAATCAGCAGAATAGATCCTATAATTAAAATATTTTTCCCCCTTATTGAATGAACAAGGTATTATATGCTCATGGGGTAGCGATTTGAAACAGCATTCTGGTCAAGGATAACATTGAATCTTGCATTAGTTGGGAGGTTTGTTGGATTTCCTAACTTTGAGCGATGTTGGAGCTCATTCACTCAAAGGATGCTCCTAAGATTTTGCTTTCCCATACTCTCCATAGTGTTCGTACCATATGTCAACATTAATCACAGCCACAGTATTGTCGGTTTACAACATTGTGTCACAAGTTCCTGGCCTGAATTTAATATTGTCCTTGTAAAATAAAACCAGTCCACGAACCTTACAATTTGCATTAATTACAATGCAAGATTTCCTGGGCAGTTTGTCCAAGCTTGGGAACCTAAATGCTTCTTTTAGGGAACGTTGCCATTAGAACAAATAAAACAATCTCTCCAGAAATGAAGGAGAAGAATGTATAGTCTATTTTTTCACATAGTCTAGTTTTTCTTTTCTCTATGGAAAAGCAGCTGATTCTATTGCTGCCTCCCTAAGGTAAGTCAACTTCAAGAACTATCCAAGTTGCTTGTGAATAATTCCTTGATTGCCGAGCAAATAAAGTTTGGAAAATGTAATTGTGCTTTGTCGTGGAAATGACCAGTGACAAAAAAGTGTAATGGTTCTTATTTAGTATGTTATCTTTGGATACAAAATTTCTTGCTTCTTTCTGTCTAGACGTTGATCTTGTGATATTGGTTCTCATCATTTGTTTATTTAGATATTAGGTGGTGTTAACGGATTGTAGCCGGCGGTAGCAAACAAGGGCCAGCATTTCATGACTTCAGCCTTTCTGCTTGCTCAAAGAATCATCTTGTGAAATGTACTGTAGTCCGACAGGCAACACCGAGATCACCTATAGTCATGGTTTATTATGTGATTAACTCCTCTGTCTTTAAACTTTTGAATACAAATCATACAGCGTTCCAGGTGGCAACACACTCTATCAGGGAATCCACAGGCAAGAAAAGTGATGTGTATAGCTTTGCTGCCAGTGTTCTGAGCAAACCTTTTGAATTAATAAAGAGTTTCTATAGCAGCTCTAAATTTACTCTGTTGAAACCCAGATTTAAAACGTGGGAGATTTTGTTGACTGGTAGATGAAGGTGAATCTGAAGTTCCAACGGTTCTGTGTGTTCTGTCTCAGAATTAGAGTAAAGGAGCATAAGATTGCTTCTTAATTCTAATAATAAATTGTCAAGTATTCTAGATTATGTACTCCATTAGTGGAGAAAGGTGAATAATGCTCAAAAACACAGGGAAACAAACTTGTGTAGTAGAATTAAGCACTGTACACTTATTGAAAAATAATGCATAAAGTTTCCTTTGGGACTTCCTTTCTTCAGCTCAGTAATCATAGTGTGTGGAGAGGAGAATCATTTGAAAATCGGGTCTTCCACACTCTGGATATTTTGTTTGAGCGCATGCAAGTCCATTTTGGTTTCTGCTTTCTGCTGCAATTATATTGCACAATTTACCCCCCAAAACGTGCAGTTTAAATGTGGGTTGGGTCGGCAGTGGAAATTCACTGTTGAAATAACCTGGAGCAGGTAGTTTAGGAACAGCTTGACTTGTCTATTGCATTAATACATAATGCAGTAGATAAAAATTGAAATCGGGCTCTGCGCCACTCATAGTCATTTGAAAACTCTGGGATGGCTAAAGAACTTTCAAAGGACTTGCGTCTTTACGTGTTTAAAGTTGGAAGTGCAATGTCTCATTAATAACATTAAAACAGTAACTTCTGGTTTTGGCATTCTGTATATACCCTGAGGTGTGCATGACCAAAATTTCAAAATCAATATTGAGGGTTTCTTTAAAAAGCAGGAAGTATAAATCTGTACTGCAGGATGGGAGACCATTGTGTAAATACTGCGTCAGTCTGCAAGTTTCTCAAGTTATTAATTTCTAAATCAAAAAGCTGCAATAAACTAATATATATTACAAGGTTCTTGTGTGTCAGGAATAACCATATTAATACAATATAACTCCATCTACACAAATAATTCCCCAAACATTGCCTTTATTGAAAGCTTTTTATTTAAAAAAAAGTGTTGCACTAAATTAACTTTTTTTTGTATACTTTTACTGCTGGTAATAAAAGGAAAATGTGTTCCTTTTTATAGGCTTATCTGTAGTATTGTCATGTCTGTGATGCTCTGCAGAGCTGCTAATTTAATCCCTCGCTGGCATCAATACGTATATAGGTTTCAGCAAAAGCTTGGCACTTCTCCATATTTAAATTTTAACTACCTTGATATGCAGAAGGTTGGCACGTCTATATGGCATTCTGTGGGGAGGAGGAAAAAAAACAAGCGTAAAAAAATGTGGCTCCATAGGTAGGAACTCACCTGGGATGTGCTTGAGCCAATTACAAGAAAATTCTAGTTTTTATGCCAGTATGATGTTTGTGATACTGAGACTGTTAATGTGTTTGTTTCTAGATTAGGCAGCGTGTGCACCAGATCTTGAATATGCGAGGTGGTTCCACCAAAGTGGTCAGACACATCATGAGAGGTAAGTGTTATAGCTGCCATTTTATTCATCGACTCTGACACGTTCAGTTCCAAGTTGTATCAGCATAGCACTAATATGTAAGTGTTCTGTTCCAGCAAAGGAGCAACAGCACCCTGTGCTTTATGCATGTAAATTGCGGTTGATTCTAGATTTGCACTAACTCAGTCTTCTGACTTCCTATTGTTCTGTTCTATTCTGTTTAATTTTGGGGGACCAGCTGGGCACCTGATACATGAGGACACCCAACACCACACTTAAGAGTATTCAAATCAGATTGAGGATGTGCTTGATACCCACAGATGGAAATTCCCGTCTTTGGAATGGAATGCACATTCCCTGGAGGAACGAATCGTGATTACCTAATAACGGAGATATTAGCCGTACGTTGGCGAGATCCAAAGCTTGGGGACCCCAGAGTGTGCATTGGGGTAGTGTTAAGACCTCCCCCCCCACACCCACCCTTAGTTATGTACAGCAATTTAGAAACAGTGAAGTATTATAAATTGGTAAAACTTCCCCCATTGAGAATGAATGAATTAGTGGTTACAAATTCATTTGTGCAAGCCAGTCTGCATGCATTTTGTGGCCAGGTAATGTAGATTGTATGCAGTCAAGCAAATGTATTTGTGTTTGGTGTCCCTCCACCTTGCGCCTTCCCTTCCCATCTTCAAAACCCACCTTGAGACATATTTTCGACTGAACTATTAGACTCCCTCCTCCCCCCCCACCCCCCCCCCACCGATCAGGCTTCCAGCCAGCTGTGTGAAGCACTTTGAGAGATCCTCCCAACATGATATAAATGTAAATGATTACTGTTCAGAAGACTTAAGTTTTTATTCATTTGTGAAATTATACCAATCAGCAATCAGAAAACACTATGACATTACTGATCACTGATCCTTCTCATTTGTAAAAAAAAGTAGAACCTGTGGTTCAGAATTATTTATTAAACAAAATGAGCTAATTTGTATATGTTGCTTTTTAATTAAACCATTTTCTTTCTGAAAGATGAGAACTTGTCTGGTACATCCCCTGTAGCCTATTATCAAGCCTTTTTTTTGTGGAAAAAAAAGTGATTCTACTGGAGGCAATTCTTTTAAGTCAGATTGGTCCAACCTTTTGGTTGCTGAGGGCCGGATGCTCTATTTGAGAAACATCTGCAGGCCGCATAAGCAATATTTTGTGTTTCCCATCCGGAAACATAACATTTATGGGTCATGGAGGGAGCAGGTGAGCCAGATGAAATGGGGCTGGGGTGGCTGGGGCTGCCCAGTTGAACCACCCTGCTTTAACTCATTGTGTGATTACTTTCTACCAAAGTGCTTTTTACATTACTGCTGCAGTCATGATGCAATTGTGTTTGTAACTAAGCAACAAGCCCAATACAACACACTAACTTGAAGTGAGAAGCTTTGGAAAATGAATATCCCTCTTTTCCCCCATGTGATTTCTTGGAATCCCTTCCCGTTAGGTTATGGGAGGGGTTATATAGCTGCAACAACATGAAAGAAGAGTTCTGTATTCCAGTCCATCTTTGTTGTAAATTGTTTATTCATCACAGGAGCAATTCTAAAAAGTGTTTTAATCTTCAGTTATATCAGCAGAAATGACTGCCTCCTCCTCACATAACATTGTCTTTCATGGAAGACAAAGTTTTTCAAACACAGCAAAAAATCATATACAAACAGCCCACGCTGGGACCTTATTCAGCTCCATAAGCTTATTTACTGGAATATTCTTATTATTATTGCATGCAAATAGTTGCTTGTGGTTTTATATTACCCACGTTTGTGCTAATTTTCCCGTGACTGTGACAGTCTTTGGGCCCGAGGGAACTACATAATGGTGGAGATGCAGCTGAAGAATAATAGATTGTGGGTTCATTAACTGCATATTCGCAGCCTAATAAGTTCGTGTTTGTTTTATTACGTCCCCCAGCTATGTGTGAAGCATACTCCCATGACAAATGTGTTGAAATCAGCTGTAAAGCAGACCCCACTCAGTTCTCATTCGAGTACAGAAGTGGTTCATTTCAGTATGAGCACTGCTCTCCAAGGAGCAGGCCTGTATCAGCACTAGAAACTGCATCTATAACAAGCCAAGGATTTCTGAATGTCATCGCTGGAAATAACTGTTTAAACAGGCCTGTGAAGGACATTGTAATCCATGTGCAATTCATTAAGGGTTTTCCACCGAGTTAACCAATAAACTATTATTTAGCAAAATGATTCCTATTGCAAACACCCCCACCAGCCAATTTATATAGTCTGGCATACAAGCAGTAGAGAGCACATCTCTCTCAATTGTGTTAGATGTGGGATGTTGATTACCTCACTTAGGTTGATATCTAAGGCTTTTGATATCTCTTGGCCATAATGCCATTGTCTGAAAAATGTTAAGATCCTACAGAATTTTTTAATATTCTTAAATTGGGTCTTAGTTTGGAAATCCATTCTTTCTAAGAGCTTCGGAAAAGCAGCTTCATAATTAAGATTTAATTAGATTTTTCAAAATTCTGCACGGTCTTAGAGGAATTTCTGGCCTCCAGTGCCTTAACTGGGACACAGGAATAAATGTTGCAAATTTCTAATATGTACGAAAGGGGATACAAACATTGGTTTGAGAAAAGCAGTGATGGTATCTGGAATATTTATTCGTGTTGTAAGTTGCCTGCCAGCTGTTTTTACTGCTGTGTGTTCAAATTAGTACTCTAGTGAGAGCTGCTTTTCATATAGCTACAGTATACTGAGGAATATTTGGATTTAGAAATAGATACTGGACAGGCTTGAGTGGGATTCCTGCTTGAAGCTGATCTTTTTGCCACTGTAAACGGGGTAAATCATTTGACTCTACATTGCTTAGTAGCAGTAAATTGTTTGTGATCTCAACCAGGCAAATGAGGAAATGCTCTTTCATTCTCTCTTGAGTGGGAAATCTGGCTTGTTTGACTTGTCCCACTTGCCACCTGGGAGTTAATGACATCCCAGCATCTGTATGATTGAAGACAAATTTAGAACCAGTGCTGTTCCACACTGAAGGGGGGTTGTGCTGCATTGCCAGGATGGCTGCAATGAATGGAAAAACAGTGACAGTGCGGGGGAATAAATTGTTAAGAAAGTTTCTCAGATGCTGCCATGCAGATAGTTATTTGTGGTGTGACAGCCTAACCCATGTCACAGTTTAAGAATCTAATCGCACTAGGGGACAGAAATTCAAATCAGAGTTGAGCTGGTTAAAAGTGGCTCCAGAAAATATTTCTTCGCACAAATTGTGGTGAGAAAAAATATTTCTTCGCACAAATTGTGGTAAGAATGTGGAATAGTTGGCTATAGATGCAGAATCAATTGAGGGGTTTAAGTCAGAGTGTTAAGGTATATGGAAAAGAAATTGAGGAAAGGGGTTAGACAGGAGCTGTCATGAACTAATAGAATGCAAAGATTTGATGAGCGAAATGACTGAACAGTGTCCTGCTCTCAGAACTGACTATCTTACATAAGAACGTAAGAAATAGGAGCAGGAGTAGGCCATTCGGCCCTTCGAGCCTGCCTCGCCATGTAATAAGATCATGGCTGATCTTCTAACCTACTTCCATTTACCCGCCCTATTCACATATCCCTTAATCCCTTTAGTTTTTAAAAATCTATCGATCTCAGTCTTGAATATGTTCAATGACTGTCTTGATATATGTTCTTGTTGGCCAAATGTGGGACAGTATTGATGGTGGCAGTGAGTAAGTCCCTCCTCCACCAAACTGGCTGGATGAGCAGACATTGGTCAAGGCCTTGGAGGAAGCTAAAGGGGGTGAAAAGAAAAAAAGTGAATGGCACATCTAACTTGTTCAGGAAATTAGTAGTAACACTGATCAAAACTTTCTAAAACCTTACCAAATGTGCGTACAAAAAGTAAAAGCTTTGCTGGTAATAATAATCCTTGCATTTTGACATTTCACGTCTTAAAGGCGTTTCAAAGCACTTCGTAGAATATACTGCATATTTTGTGGGCGAAATTATATGTATATGTTGCCACAAAAGTGAGTGTAAATAGTCCGAATTGAATCACTTTAATTGTTGTACATTAAAGCACTTCAGTTTTGCCCAAGGGAAAAAAGGGATGTTCGTATCCCTCAACAAGGTAAAGCAGCACAGTTCCTTTGGAATCAGCACTTTTTTTCTTAGGCTAAGAACAGTTTTTTTAGTTTAAGAAAAACATGATTTTTTTTATTGGCGCAGGGTTGACGTGACATTATAGTTTTGCAGCCAATAAAAAAGTAATAGCTTGTTAACCAGTTGGCCTGTCAAACTCTCATGTCTAATCGTGTCTCTCAAGCAGGAAGTGGGAGCTGTGAATCGGAACACATTGTCTCAAATGTGCCGAAGTAAAGATTTGTTCATGCTCTTTGAAATGAACTAATAAAAGTGGCATATAGTCAAGGGATCTAAATTTTGAGATCGTTATTATTGGGTGCTCATCCCTGAGGGAAGAGGACAATGCAAGTTCTTCACCACTACTTTAGTCCGGAAGGAAAAGTACTTTTGTATCACCATCATTGCAGGCATTTTCAATTCCATTTCAGAGGTTGCAACTATCGTTACAGAGTGTTCCTTTCAATTGCCCGCGTGTTAACAAAAATGGACCTATTGTGGTGGATTTGAGAGAAGCCTTGGAGCAGGTTGCCCGGCTGCCCTCTTACGTGCAGTTGCTGCATTATTGGGGAAATCACATGATTCAAAGTAAAGTTACATTTTCTATCAGAAGAAACAATTGCATCTTATTCTGATAGATTTTAGGAAGATTTGCAGTGTTGAATGATTGCAGTGATGCTAGAGCCAAAGGAAATGTCACATCTCGTTTCAGGTCGAGCTGAGTCAGTGATGAGTACGGCACTTCACTTTTCTGTATCGTGAAATTCTAGGATCGCTTGGCTGAATTTGTTTATCCAAAATTTGCATTGAATGTATACATAAAACAAATAGCAGTGTATACATAAAACAAATATCCAT